ATAATTTGGGCATGCTGGTGCAATTATAAAAACATCAAACAAAACAAAAGCCCTGATACTGCTGATATGTGGCGTAGAGGGATCTTAAAATAATCTTTATCCAGGGATTAAGAGTTTCTGATCTACCACTGACCTGTTTTCAGAGTATTACAAATTCATGGTACTTGTAGAAACAAGACAAAAAGGCTGTAAAACAAGAGAAAAGCAGATTTACAACAGCATAAGTTACTAAAGTGAGCATTGATGAGGAAGCTTCAAACTAAAAATCATGCTTGGTGAAACCTTGTTTTTCTAGTCAAGAATCCAAAGTATGCTTGGAAATCTTTTTGTAGAAAGTTTCTGGACCTTTTAGGCCATGTGTGAAAATGGTTTTTTTCATTAGGAGTGAGAAATGCAGACCTCCAGATGCCCTCTGATTTTTTTTTCCCCCCAAAGGAGGAGGAGCTGGGGTGAGATGGAGAGACAAACACTGGTGTAGTCCTTGAGTTCTGAATTAATGCTGTTATTTTTAAGGGTTGAATAAACATTGGGAGTGAATGATTTCTGTGTACAGAAAGCCAGGGAAACTTGTGCTGATACCACTGACTTTGTGAACAAAGAGAAAGTTGTGTATCTCCAGGATTATGGGCATCTGAGGTGTTTCATCATTACTAAATTCTTATGGGAAAAAATAATTGACTAAAGCAAATTAAGTGCCAGAAAGTGATTTTTATTTCATTGTCTGGCAGTAATATATGGATTTGATTATTTGTTTTGGCCTTTTCTAGGGGTTTTTGCACGAAGTAATAAAGTTAGCATGAAATTTCATCTTAGCTTGAAATGCCTTACATCTTTATCAAATGATAAATAACACAGACTTTGGCTAGAAGTTCAGTATTTTGTAATTTTGTCTGCAAAAACATTTTCCATGGTCAATAAGAGAAATGTGAGACACCAGAGCAATAAATTCATGCTTGTCTTTGGAGTAAAATAATAATTACTTGGGTAATACAATCTTTTTTATGTACACCCATGTCAGGGGACCCCTGGCTACAAATGTGAGCTGAGTGAAGTCTGGAGGAGCAGGACCTTGGTCAGTGAAAGCAGCTTTTATAAACTGTGAAGGATTTGGAGAGGGGTGATAAACCCACACAGGACCAGCAGCTTGGAGTTATTGTTGGGTGTTTTAACTCCCAAAATCGCTGCAGAGATTGGGATGGGGAGAAATGCAGGGCTGCAGCTGCCCTGTGGCTGTGAGCTGGGCCAGCTGGGCGTGTGCCCGAGGGGCTGCCAGGGGCAGGAGCCCAGCTCTGCTCAGGGGGGCAGGAGCCCAGCTCTGTTCAGGGGACAGGAGCACAGCTCTGTTCAGGGGGCAGGAGCCCAGCTCTGCTCAGGGGACAGGAGCCCAGCTCTGCTCAGGGGGGCAGGAGCCCAGCTCTGCTCAGGGGACAGGAGCCCAGCTCTGCTCAGGGGGGCAGGAGCCCAGCTCTGCTCAGGGGACAGGAGCACAGCTCTGTTCAGGGGGCAGGAGCCCAGCTCTGCTCAGGGGGGCAGGAGCCCAGCCCTGCTCAGGGGGCAGGAGCCCAGCTCTGCTCAGGGGACAGGAGCCCAGCTCTGCTCAGGGGACAGGAGCCCAGCCCTGCTCAGGGGGCAGGAGCACAGCTCTGCTCAGGGGACAGGAGCACAGCTGTGCTCAGGGGACAGGAGCACAGCTCTGCTCAGGGGACAGGAGCCCAGCTCTGCTCAGGGGACAGGAGCACAGCTCAGGGGGACAGGAGCACAGCTCTGCTCAGGTCAGGGTCTCCTGAGGGAGCTGGGGATGTCACTCTGCACTCAGAGAAACCCGGGCTCTCAGACTCTCATGAATAAGTAGTTCCAGATAGTTTTAGAATCGTACAGGTATGAACACACCTTTTCTTTTTAGCTGTTGGAGGGGCAAGGGCTGGTTTGAAAGGGTCTCTGCTGTTGTACCCTATAATGTGACACTGCAGCGTGTGTGGCTGTGCTCTTCATTTCCCTGGTACATTGGTGTGCAGGGCTCAGTTTGGGCAGGCCCTTAGCAGCAGTCGGGAGGGGACATCAAAGTGCCACCAGGCAGGGTGTTCAGTGCCCGGGTATCGAGTGCTCTCTGTGGGTTATTTACAGTAATTTGTTCTGCATTTTTCACAACAGCCACACCAACCCCAGCTCTCTGCAGTCACCAGTGTGAGGACACCGTGGTGAAAGACAGCACCATTTTCACCCAGTTACTCCTCTGACAAGAGGTTCTTGTCTAGAATGTGAAATTGTAGAAGCCCCCAGCTGGCGACTATAAATTCCTGCTTTAATGGGCTGTGTCAGACACGTCGGGGTGGCTGTGCCGGGAGGGAACCTGAGACTGGATGCCAAAGGGAGGAGTTTCCATCCAGCCCAGAGTCGGGAGAGCATTTGTGTGCTTGGGAGAGCATGGGGAGGGCATTGGTGTGCTCGGGGAGGGCATTTGTGTGTTGGGGAGGGCATTTGTGTGTTGGGGAGGGCATTTGTGTGCTTAGCGGCTGAGGGTGCCGCAGCCCCTGTGCAGGGAAGGTGACACCCAGGGGAGAGGGGCTCTGCAATAATGCACAAGTGGCTTCCCCAGCTGCACAGTCACAAGTGCCTGTAGAATATTAGAACAAGGGAATGAGGTGTTGTTGTGTCTGGCCTATCATAGCAGGTTTAAAAGTTGTGATTTCCTGTCCAAAACTTAACCAAAGCAGTTGTTGACTGGGCAGTGTGTGACTGTTGCTCACTTCAGAGTTGTCCAAATATGACTGTTCTAACTCACAGCAGATTCTTACGTTTAAGAAGTTTGTATAATTTTTTTTTTTTTTTTATAATTTGTATAATGTAGTTTGTATAATTTTTGCTGAGATCATCAGTTTGAGGATTTCTTGGATCTTTTGTCCTCCTGTTTTTGCCTTTCAGTGAATTTCTGCATTATCACTTGCAGCCATGGCTTCAGCCATGGGAGCTGTATTAAGTACAGTTCCCTCCCCTCCTCTGCCCACGTTGGGACCAGCCTGTGCTGTGCCTGTGGTTTGTTGTACTGCTCCTCCTCTTTTCCTAGATGGGAAGGAGGGTACATCCCCCTCCAGTGCTGATTGTTCTCTCCATCCGTGTAACAAGTGAAGGAGGTGGCAGTAATGTCCTGCTATTGCTTTATAACCTGTTCAAAGTACAGCAAAGCCCTGGGAAAAAAAAAGTTACTGATAGTTTGTGGTGTTAAGTTCTTGAAACATAAAACCAGGACCAGGCTGTGCTTCGAGCTGAAGTGTTCAGTGCAGAGGGTCTGCAGCATTTGTCAGGGAAAATGCTTTATTTTGGTGGCACCAAAGGTTGCACTCACTTTCTGAATACTGTTCTATCTGACAGGCCAGCCTTAGGTTCAGCTGGTGCTTTTCTCTGTCCAAATGATGATTAGAGAATACTTTAGGTAATTTAAAACACTAAAAGGCAGCTAATCCAAAAGAATTCTGTGATTCTGTGAAATATGGTTCAGAGTAGTCAGGAAATTAATCACTTGGAGAACCCCTGGCATTCTGTCTTTTGAACCTTCTCATAATTCCTCTGAGTCCTGCCAGGAAATGAGAGGGGGAGATCCTAGGCTTGCTAAATTAAGAGATGACTGTGAATTTTACCCCACAGCTGAATTGCCAGTGGCAGGCAGTGTTCAATGAAGAATTGCCAGGCAGACCTGTTATCTGTAATTAGCATTTCTCACCAGCAAGGGTTTCTGCTGCTGGGTGGCACCAGCAAGAGCTGCTCACTCCTGGGACAGCTTTCTCCCAGCCTTCCAGGAGTCCTGGCTGGCTGTGCACGTGCTGTGATTCCTGGCAGTGGAAGGAGAAGAGCTGTACTGGGTTTGGCAAATGCAGTGTTACATGTGGGAGGTGACCTGTGCTGCCTCAGCTGCACACACCTGCCCTGGGCTCGGCTTCCACCAGTGTCCTCTAAAACAGCAAATTTGGCATTTGCCAAAGAGATGATTCTGTGCATTGTGTGTCTGATGCAGCAGGTTTATTTTCAGACACATCTATAAGTTAAGATTGTTTCTGCTGTTTAAGAAGGACCATTGAAATGGGTCTCTTGCAAGAAATTGCCTCCCTGTTAATAGCAGATTTATGGCTACTGGCCAATACTGTCCTAATAGTGTATCCTGTTCAAAATTGGTATTTATGTACCCAAAAATGCTTTAAAAGCAAGTAAATTAAATACCATGTTAATAAAAATGTTAGTGAAAATATCTGATCTAAAGTTCATTAATATTCAAAAGAAGCTTCTCAGAATGTGGTTGAGGAAGGACTGCATAATGGCTAAATGTTTCCTGTATTTCTTTTGAAAATACATACCTCCAACATATCCATTGTTGAATCCAGCTTGGGAGAACTTGTAAAGTCATATTAGTGTATGAGAAGAAACACAAAAGTTGGGTTACTTACTTAAGCTGTTGTTTGTGCTGTCCAGGTAACATTCTTTTAGCACATGAAAATTAAATCTGCAGTTCAGATTTAAGCTTGTGTGGCCCAAAACAATTCACATACATTTTAGTTATTGCAGAGAAAGTAAAACCTTCCTCTAAAAATTTTGAGAGTAACCAGTATCTTCATCTTTCCAGAGAATTCCTTAATGTAAAAAGAAGATAAAATTTACAGACTCTGCTTTCAGATTTGCAGATGCTGGGGGCTCTCCCTAAGCCCTTATAGTGCTCGGTTCTCTACTTCAGCACTTCACCAGGTGCCTGTGAGGTTCATTTGCCTGCTGGCTTGTGGAGTTTCTTGTCCATGTGTCTCCAATTCCTGGAGATCAAAAGCTTTTGCAGAGAACAACCACGAGCAGCTCCTTGCTCCAATACTGCCCTCAATTCTCTATCCTGTTCCCATTACAATTACAGCCCCAAAACTTCCAAGCAGGAGTGGGAGTTCATACAAATATTTGTAGGGCTGTGAACTGCACTGTGCTGGGGAAGCTCTGGGTGGTTTCTCACGGCCGCATTGTGCCTCCAGGAGCAGGTGCCCGTCCCTGTGTATCACCCCACGCCCAGCCAGACGCGGCTGGCCACGCAGCTGACGGAGGAGGAGCAGATCCGCATCGCGCAGCGCATCGGCCTCATCCAGCACCTGCCCAAGGGCGTCTACGACCCCGGCAGGGACGGCTCCGAGAAGAAGATCCGAGAGTGAGTCCTGGCACGGAGGGAAGGGGTGTGGCTGTGCCCGTGGTTTGGGATGCTACCCTGGGAAACCTCACCTTGTCACCCTGGGTTTGCCTTCTTTACAGGGTCTGTGATTTAATGGAGCTTTTTTAAAAAGAAGGCTGACGTGGGGAGTGGCATCCCTGCTGAGGGCAGGGGGTTGGAACTCTGTGGGCTCCAAGATCCCTTTAACCCAAACCACTCCGTGCATCTGAGGCTCTTTCCTTTACCTTACACATCTACAAATACTAAACACATCCAGGAATAGATATTATACTGTTTTTCATTTCCAGGTTGGTAACAGCAAGCTTAATATTTTATTTTTCCCCCTCCAGATGTGTCATTTGTATGATGGACTTTGTTTATGGGGACCCTATCCGATTTCTGCCGTGCATGCACATTTACCACCTGGACTGTATAGATGACTGGTTGATGAGATCCTTTACCTGTCCATCCTGCATGGAGCCAGTGGATGCAGCACTGCTTTCATCATATGAGACTAACTGAGCCAGGGTTTCTCTACTGAACCTTCGAGGAGACCATCCACTTCAATGGGTTTGATCCTTTTGTCATTCAGCCCAAAGAGCCAGGAATTAGGAATTAAGATCATGCACAAAGTATACATTTCCTAATAAATAAAAAAAAATATTCCTGAATGGCTGCAAATATTGGAAAACATAGTATTTTAGAGACTATAGAAAAGTAGGTTGTTATTTTTAATGTAAAGCCTTGACCCACCATTGTCTTTTAATGTTTGTTCTTACACCCATATATAGGAATTGTGTAAAGTGTTACAGCAACTGTAAATGTTTAAACTGCGTGTATCCAATTTTATTAGCAGCAAGATAAGAGTATTTTTTTCCTAAATAAAGTAACCAGTTTTGTTCTGATTCTTTTCACAAGTCCTGGCATTTGGGTCAAGGCTTTATTGAAATCTACATTTTATAACACTGGCACAAAGAAATAGTTTTAAGCTTGTTTGCACAGTTCTTTTTCTTTTTCTTTTTCTTTTTCTTTTTTTTTTTCCATTGGAGATGGAATTCATTGCCTTAGGTCTTTTTAATAGTGTATTGTTATTGTTGGGCTGGCTCTATGCTTGAAAACCAGTTTATTTATAACCTGTTAAAAGTGCTATATTTTGTTTGCAGTTAGGAATATGCAGACTTCAAAGTGATCTCCTAGCTTATAAGCAAACTGAGATGCATTATCCCTTTTCTACAAGTGATGCAGATTATGAAGATATGACACAAATCCTGCAGTGAAACTCTGGTTTCATGGGGGTTTTTTTATAACTTCCTTCGGTTTTGATGAAATAACAGTCCTTAAACTTTAATATGTGACCTTTAACTGGATCAGATTAAGAGTGGGCCAGATGAACAATAAATAGTTAAGCTGCCATAACTGAAAAAAAAAAAATTGGAACTAATCTAGTGTTAGCATTGATCACTTATTCTATTTTTTTTTCTCCCTAAAATGGTTGTCTTGGATAATAGCAAATGGATACTGCATCTCTCGTTCTTGTAGTTCTTAGGTTATCAGAAGTTAAGAATAAACATACTGTATCTCAGTCTCCTGTATTAAATGTATCTGTTGAGCCCTGCTGGCTGGCACATCAGTCCACCAAACAGGAATGAATGCAGAGAGGAGAAAAATAGACTTTGTTCTGCACATAAATGCAAAGTTTATATAAACACAGAGTGTCAGGGTAGCAGTGGAGGGGCAAACAGTCCTGCTATAGCCAGAATGACACAATTCCCTGATTTCTGTAGCAAACAGAACCTGCTTGTCAAGAGAGGCTCCAGCAAAGACTGTAGCTGTAAAGACCTTTTTCCACTTAGCATGATTTTCTCCTTTTTTCTTCTCCCCCACTCCCTTGATGAACCTTCTGTGACTTCTGTGCATTCAGTGCCACCCTGACAGTGAGAAGCCCTGGTCTCATGAAATGAAACACAATCTCAAGTTAACCACAGCAAATTGGGGGATATTCTTTGATTGTGTTTCAGATGTAGTTTGAGTTCTTGATACAAGAAGTTGTGTTTCAAGACCCAGGTCCTTTGAGGACTTTTAGTGCGTTTGCAGTGGAGGAGAATTGTAATTCTGTGGGTTATGGATAACTGGTCAGCACAGTGGAGAGTCAACATTTGTTTGTGATTCCTGCAGCTGACAGCACCCTGCTCCCTTAGAGAAGAGCTCCAAGGAGCAGTCACAAGGAATTGAAAAACACCCGGCAGTTCTAGATTCACTCAAATGGCCACACATTTATCTGGACACAACGTTTTGCTGAATTCATACATAACGAATTACATGGATCCAAATCTGGGAAGAGAGACCTGAAGTTGTGCAATATCATTGTTCCTTTTCATCATTCCATGTGTGTTCCTTTGTGTCCTCCTTTTTGTCTGTTTCAGGGGTTGGGTTCTTTTTTTTTTTTTTTGGTAAAACAATGTCCACATTAAGTATTCATTTCTTTATCTTGTTAAAACTGGCAAATGAACAATTTGAAAAAAACAGTGTTGTCATGGTGGTATTAATCTTTATTTATTACAAGAATTGATTAAGAAAGATTTAAAAGAAGTAGGAAGTGATGGGTTACTGAGCTGAATGCTTTCCTAGGCAGCTGACACCTGAGCAGCTGAACTTTTAACACTGATACTGACTGGGCTAAGGGAAGAAATTACTTTTATTAAAATACTTGTTAAATAGCAAAAAGGTGGGGAAAAGTTAAAACTGGAGCTGATGACACAAAACTATTCCAAAAAAGTTCAAATTTTAGCTTAAAGACCAATGTGTAAATATAACAAATATATCAAATTATTTTTCAAGTTTTTAGATACAATACTGTTCTGGGTGATTTTGAATTTAAAGAAGAATTTATCTAAATTTAATGCAAAATAATGTATAACCTGAATTCTAGCTAATTGTGGAACCAGATCTGTGTTTTATTTCTGCCATCTATAAGATGAAGATATATTTACCTCCTGTCCTAGAGGTGTCTAACAATTACTTGCACTTCAGACACATGAAGGCAGTCCAGCACAGCACAGCTGTTCCCAGCTGGAGTCTCCTGCAGCTGGGTGAGGGGAAGGAGTTGGCTCTGACTCACCTGGACCTGTTCACCCAAAGTCCTTCTTATGGCAGGCTGGGCAGGCCCATAGAAAAATGTCTGCAGAGCAGTTTGAAGGAGAAAACAAACAAAAAATCCTCTTAGAGGCACTGTGGGCAGGTACCCGAGTGTGGAGGTGCTCGACAGCCTCAAGAGCTGTTCCTCTGAGACATTTTCATAGGGCCTGTGCAGTGGGATGGAAACACTGAGTGCAGTGATGGCATCTGTAATTTAGGGCTGCAGTGGCACAGCAGCCCTGGCACTGCCCCAGCTGGGCTGAGGGATCACCAGGCTCCATCCCAGCAGCACAGGGACAGGGGCTGTGAAACCCCCAGGCCCCAGGTCAGAGCCAGCACAGCACTGCTGTCCCCTGCACAGGAGCTGCAGGGAGCACCTGCACTGCAGGGATCTGCTGGGTTCCACTTGTAGGAAATGGATTTTGTCTCCTGCATGAGAGGGAAACTCCCACAAACCTGCAGCCAGAGATGTAATGACAAGTAAGGAATACTCAGTTTTGTACAGACCTTCATGCTTAAAAATTCTTGCATGCTATAGGAATTACCACTTTAATCATTTTACTTCTAAAGATGGCAATCCTTATTACTGTTGCCAGTTCATTTTGTGAATCTGGGGGAGAATAATACATAAACAAACAAACCCAACCCAGAGTGTTTCTTTCTCAGGAACATGAGCCACATAAGGGTTTAAAAGCTCTTATGGTGCTGCAGCTTCCCAGGGCTGAAAGCAGTTCCATGTTTGGAAGGCTGACAGGCTCCCTTTGCAGTGGCAGAAGGGTGCATTTCTGGGCTGAGGGATTATGAAATACCTGAATTTACTTCAGTTGCCACAGTTTCAGGACTTCGACACTTCCTGTCCTTGTGCAATTGTGGTAAAGATGAAAATTCTTCTGAATCAGACTGCCAGTGAAATAAATAACAAGATGGCTGAAACTAAACAACCAGGGTCTCTCAGCAGTTAAATCCTGGATTAAAAGGACTCAGCAAAAAATGTGGATGCTGCCTGATTACAAACACAGTTTGTTACAGATACCACATTTTTATTAAAAACACACATTCTAGTTGACAACCTATAAAAACACACGAATAAAATCTGTTCCGAAGAACCCTTCTTGACTTAATACCCAGAACAAAAATTAGCTTCAAGGATTAACTTTTCCTTTTATACATAGCATTTAACTTTGAAGAATATAATTTATGGTAACCATCCTTTGCAGATTATCTTGCATTTAAACCTGTTCTGGGCTTTGGAATTCTTGGTATGAAATGCAAAGTTAATGCTTTGTGATAAAGAGAACAGTCTAAATGCACTCTGCTAAAGCATCTTTTTGATTTAAGCAGAGGAAATAACTGTACTTTCACACTAGCAACTGATTCATTACAACATCCACTCTGCTCTGACACTTTGCTAAGTAAAAGCTGCAGAGAGGAGTTTATAATGAAGAAATCCTTTGTGCAGAGCATTTTCTGTGCTCCCACAGCACCGAGGTATTTGCTGGCTCAGCAAGAGGGGCCCAGCCACACGGAGCAGAGCGTGCACAGAGAGCCCCCAGCCCTCCTCTGTCCTCTGGAAAACAAGCAGCAGAAACTCAACAAGCCTGCTCTTTGCAGCACCAAGCCCTACAAAACATTTCTCTTTCTTTCCAAGAAGGCATTTCAAGAGCTCTGCACACAGCAGTAAATGCTGATTCCCCACACACACTGCCCAGGCCCTGGCTGCCCACAGAGCCCTTTCCCAGCCTCACTCTGCTCCCTGGCTGCTCTTTTGCCAGGGCTCTCACTGCACCAGGACAGACAAACTTCACCTTCTCAGCCTCTTTTGCCCACACTTCTGCCACGTTAGCAGGAGCTGCCTGTGTAATGCAGGATTCACGCTGGGGAAGCAGATTGAGGGAGGCAGACAAGGCAAGAATTCAAGGGGGAAAGGATGAATCACTCCAAATCTCTTTTCTGAGCAGGACAGAGCCATCCCAGGCACTGTCCCACTGAGGCAGAGCTCTGCTACTCCAGAGTGAAAAATGATGCCTTCAAACCTAGAGCATAAAACTGCATTTTTGTGAGGTTACTGCACTGAAGGGCTCTTGCTAGATTGCCAGTTTGCCTTGGGATTTCATCTTCTAGAAGGCTGCAAACTGCACAGTCCTGCAGTGTGATCTACTGCAAACCATTAGTAAAGGCCTTTAACCTCTGCATTTTCTTCAGCTATCACCAAAGCTTTCTTTTCTCTTTAAAGTATCTTGCCTTTTTAAAGTACCAAATTGAATAAATAGTTGAAGCAGTTAAATTTTTAAAAAGCTTTGGCTCCAGAACCCTGTTCCCTCTGTGTGTGAGTATACATACATACATAGATGTTTTATGTATATTTATATATGCTTTTCTTTATGTGTGTGTGTGTGACAGATCAGACAACAACAGAGCTGTAGCAAAGACACTGTGCATGGAATTCCTGCTGTTCCTTAGAAATACCAAATTTGTCTGCATCAGTGATCAGCCCAGCCAGTGTCGCAGAATGGAAACCACTCAGGTATTCACAAGCCATAGGAATGAAAGGCAAACCAAATTTTTCACAAAATTGCACCAGACATTGGAATAATCTCCCCAGGCAATGTTAGATCTCCCAGCACTGGATACTTCTAGGTTTCAGCTGGACAGGGTGCAGGGCCACCTTGCCCAGCCTCTGCCTTTGGCAAGAAAGGTTGGGCCACATGATCCTGGAGGTCCTTTCCAACCTGATATTGTATCTATGACTGAAATATCAAAACTGTAACTGGCCCTGATTGCATCTAAAAAGCCCTGCAGCTGCACAACCTTAGTGGTGGTGAGAGCAGTGCTGGGTACTGTACCCACACAAAGATGACCCTGAACATGAGCCATGTAATTCTAGGATCCTCTGGAGTTAACAGCCTTGCTTCACTCCCCAGAATGATTTACAGAACTGCACTGAGATACAGTTCCTGTGCCACATCTGCAGGGCACAGGCAGCTGCAGGCATCTCACAGCAGCACCTTCCCCAGAAGATCAGGGAAGCACCACATTGACAGAGCAGCAGCTCCTCCTGGGACTGCCCTGTGACACCAAGCATGGCCCTGGGGCTGCAGCACTGCAGACAAACATCCCACACAGCTCCAGCACCAAGGATGTTGTTCTTACCTTCACACCCTGTGCACTGCAGAATGAAAGGAACAGGAAGAGGAGAACTGTCCAGAGTATTGCAGCTTCTGCCTATCTTCTCTTTCCACCACATCACTACATTACTTTTAGGCCACAGGCCTGAAAGTGCTGTTCCTGTACTTTGCTAGCAGAAGGTAAACTTTTCTTTGCCTTTTTTAAAATCGAATCAGCCCATAAAAAGAGCATGCAGGGGGTTACAACTGCTCTGTTTTGTATTCTTCCTGTAAAATAGCCAAAGAGAGAGAAAGCAAGTAGATTTCCCTGCAATGCATAATTCTAAATAAACATTTTGCCTATGCTTAGCCAGCACTGAAAATAAGTAGGTCCTCAGGTTTAAAAAAACCACAGAAGATAATGGAGCACAGCCCAGTTCTACAGAGCCATGATTGAATTTGAGCAAACACTATGCAGAACTTTACCACAGTGCAATGCAGGTATTTATTAACCTTGTTGCTATTCATAAATCTTGGAGACAGGGATTGACTGGGCATGTCCTTAAAAAAAAGTACTTGGATATTTTTTTTTAAACACCTGAAGCAAACCTAGATAGCATCTTTAAAAAATATTCTATGATGACAAATCATTCAATTAAACACTTGCTGGTACACGCTTTGCACATCACCTGCCACCAAAATGGATTTGCAGAACATAATGAGAAAAGAAGCAAGTTCTTTTCTAGTCTGTTCAGGTTGCCCAGTCTCATTCATCAGTGATGTTGCCAACCATTACCCATTTTCCTGTAGAGCAGTAAACAACATGACTCACCTCTTTATCTTCTCCTCTTCCTCCCAGAGGGGAACGGTGTTGAATGCATTGTTTTGGCCATTTCATATACATTTGCTTTGCTGCTGTGTTTTTATGCTTGAGAAGACAAAGAAATACATCTTGCAGCTGGAACTGGAGGCTGAGTGTTGTATTTAAACTCCTGGGAGTGCTTTTTGCATTCTGGGACTGACCTGTAGGAAAGCTTTGTCTCACATGGGGAAGCATTACTTGGTGCCTTTGTTGGGCCACAGGCACACAAGCTGTCAGCCTGTGAGCTTTTAGTCTTGGACTCAGGCCACAGATAACTAAAAATACTAAAGCACTCAATACAGAATTTAATGCCAAAACCAGTGTGAAATGGGAGGAAATGTTTGATATGATCCTGTTCTACACTGCTGTATTTCATAAAATGCTGTTTCCTCAGCCAAGCTTTGTGGTGTAAACAGCCTGAGGCCAGGCACAGTCAGAAGGGGACAGTCCCTGCACCACCCATCCCTGGTGGCACCTGTGAGCTGTGCATGGCAATTGAACTGCAAGCAAAGCTCCTATGACACAGGTAGAATTGAGCAATATAAAATGTGTTTTTCCAGATCACAGTATCATGGTTGTGACTTCATCAAATTCTCCTCGAACCATCCAGAAAAATTCTCTTCTAACCATCCAGAAAAGCTGTGGCCAGGTCCAGCTCCAGCCCAACATCCTTCACCCAACAGTTTGTATCTCATCTCGTGTTACTCACAGGAGCTGGAAGCTGCAGTTGCACCTGACCAGGCCTGAGCAGGAGCTGCCTCTCCTCCCTCAGTTCCCTTGCACACAGGGATTCCACATCACAGAGTTGCTAAAAGGGATGCCCCTTCTACTGCCTTGCCCTTCCTGCCAGCATCACCCTCAGGTGACAGCACTGTCCTGTGGGCCACCATGGCTGCTGCTGCTGCAGACATCCAGGAAACTGAGGAGGAGTTTCTACCCCTCCCTGGTTACTGGCAGGAAAAACTTCCTAGTTTTAAAAAAGACATAGAAGAAGAAATAAAGCTTGTGGGTTTTATGATAAAAGTCCTACCAAGTGCAGAAAACTTTTCTGCTGTCTGAGTTAGTAATTTTTGTCTTTGGGTAACATCTCTGGCTCTGCTGAGGATGGGGAAGAGCTGATTGCAGCAGTTGTTGGCTAAAGCTGAAGCACAGAGTGGGTTTCTCAAGCATTGCTCAGACAGTTCAGTGTTTGAAGGCAGAAGGAACTGCTCCTTCTGCAGTTGAGGTGTGGACTATACCCATCTGCACTCATTCTTCCATTTCCTGAATCCTGGGCCGTGCTTCAGTCTCTGCTGTGCAATTCAGTGACAATATCTGCTATTTTCTGCTGAGTACCCTGAGGGGAGAACTCACAGCTTTGTGCTTCCCCTGGTTCACTGCATTTGGGACTCCAGACTGATGAAGCAATTTACTGTCCTGCAGAGCTGCTCCAGGCACCACACACAGCTGCTGGAGGAGCAGTGGAAAAACCAGCCCAGCACCAACCTTCCAGCCCAGACTGACCCCACAGAGTTTGGATCCCTGCCAGGTAGTAGCACCAAAATGAAGGCACTGATGAGCAGAGAGATGTTGGGCAATGGCAAATGCAACACATGAAAAAACTTACACAGTGACAATGTACCAGACCTTCCATTCATCTTCTCCTCAAGTGAATCCATATTATTACAGCCCATAAATCCTCATTGCATAGGGAAGGTGATTATTTGCTATGGCTTGGGAGCAAATTGGAAGCCAAGGAGTCAAACATCACAGTGAACTACAAAGCACTCAGCTGAAGCTGGAGATCAGGTCCACAGTGTGACTGGTGCTGGTGTTTCGAGATGACTGAAAATCCAAGGAAGGTTTTGAAAACCTTAGGAAAATCTTGGGATTTTCATTGCTGCAAAGCATCAGGGACACTGGCTGAGTATCACACAGTACATCCTTTTGTGATCTATCTAAGATCAGGCAAAACCAAGTTGTGGGTAAATTTCAAAGATGAGAAATGAATCTACACTCAGAAGGATTGTTCACTTTCTGCAAAGTACAATTTATGCTAATTTTCCCATGGCATTACTTGCTTAAAAGATGCTAAGGCTGCCAAAATATTTGAAAAGGACACAACTGGAAGAAGAGGCGTTATATGCATGAAGTAGAACAAGAAACTTTTTTTATTCTATACAAAGAATGACTGAATTTTTACACTGAAGTTTTGATGTGCAGCATGTAAATAGCATAATTGTTTATACTGAATTTTATCTGAATTGAGAAATTTATCAGAACTGAATTTATCTGAGAAAGTCACTTTAAAAAATGCATTCTTCATCTATGATTTTTAACTTGCAAAGACTTTTATAAAGGGCATCTATTTTTAAGACAATGCAAGTTCTCCACGTTGAGGAACTGGTGGTTCTGTCTCCTTGCATATTAAACTACAGTTATAAAACAATTTTATTTCCTTTGAGGAGGCAAAAGCAGAGCTATAAACTGTCAATTTTCTGCTGGGAACAATCACTTTAGAAAGGATATGCACTGTGAGGTACATAGATATGAATCTTCCTGACAAACATCTCCATTGGAGAGAAAGGGCTGTCAGAAGACCTCCCATCTCCACCCATCAGAATGGGTCATGGGGAAGAAGCTCTTTCAAAAGGGAGGTAGAAGTGTGCCCCAAAACCCCAGAGGCATACAGACATGGAGCTAGCCTGGAGGAAGCAAACACGAGGCAAAACTGTGGTAAAACTGACTTCAGCAGCAAAGCAGGAATTCCATGGCAGCATTGGAAAGCAGACCCAGCTCATTGCTCTATTCTCAAACCCATAACACAGAAAACCTCCCAAAAGATCAATAAAGAGCAGAAAGATTAAGATGTCCTGTGTGCTGAGGGAGCCTGCTCCAGCCCCAGCTTCCTCCCACAGGGAACATCAGCCTTGTGCAACAGGGACATCTCAGCTTGGGAATCCTGAGAGCAGCCCCTGCAGGAAGGGCTGCACTGGCACAGCAACTCCTGGGCTGCTCCAGCCACTGCAGTGTTGCCATCTCCTAAATGACCTTCAAGGACTTGTGCTTTCAATTTGACATAAGCTTCAGATCATGTTCACTCTGACAAAAGACATTTCCTAAAAACCTCTCATTGTCAAAGAAGAAGTGATGCAGTTTTATGCCATCACCACCTTTCCCCTTGCAATCCTCAGTAAATTAATTCAGCTGCTACAAGCAGCAGACTTGACAGGAAAACCAAACTCAAGAAAAAGTCAAGGTACTTGCATAAGGGAGATCATTCTTTTCACCAGCAGGGTTCTTACAGAAGCAAAAATGTGAATAGTTTCTCTTCTGGTAAAGAGAAGCTTCCTGTGCACAACTAGACATGCCCGGGATCCAGAATTCCTCCCTGCTGTGAGATTTTCTCCCACCATTCCAACTAAGCAGGTACTGGGAAAAAGCAATGCTTCCTTCTCAGCTGCCAGCAGTATGGATGCAAACAAACATTTAGAACTAACAGATTAAATCTGGAAATCTTAAAGTTTTGCTGTTTGGTTTTTTTTTTAAATGTTCCCCTTTCACTAAGCAAGCTACAACAGAATGTTGCAAATGCAAGAAAAAGGCACACAATTGAAAATGAATTACACAGATGGAGGTGTGTGCAAGTGTCAAAAAGCCACTGTTGGAAAAACAATATTTTTCAGGGTTATGGTTGGTTTGAGAGATTTTTTGCCATGTTGTTACACTAGATTAATGTTTTATGCATCACCTTTGAAATTTTAAGTTATTTGGTTTTTCACTGACTTGAAAGAAAAGGAAAAATAATTCTAAAGTGTCAGTAATTTTCTGCACCAAAGTTTTCAACAAACAGAACATCAAAGAAGAAAAAGTTACGACACCGCCGAGGCTCCACAGTGCATTCCATTTTCTGGGGCGGATTTGGCTTGGTGCAGGGCAGCTTGAATTCTGAAATGTGTCCTTGTTTCCATGGAGTAATTCTTGTAGTTTTGTCTGAAACAAAAGAAGATCCACTCCAATTAATATATATTTTAAAAACATTTCTAAGTTATCTTTGTATTACTGTTTTAAGCAAAACAACAGTAGACAGCAGAAAATTCTTTCTTCACAAGCTCCTTTGTTGCCTACTCTAAAATACAAGGCATGTGTTCCTGGCCAAACAATGCAGCTCTTTGTTCTTTATTTGTAGTTCCACTGTCTGGCAATTACCAGAAAAATATAGCTTAGTAAGAAATTGAATCTGGTCCACTCAATCAAAATATTGAGTCCACATTAATTATCTGTAACATTCACTTAGTTTACATTCACAAATTAGAACTTTTTTTCTCCCTCTCAAAGTGTAACTGACAGATTTGAATACAAATATTTTCAGCATTTAAAAAAAATAATTTTAATAAGGAGACTCATTTCAAGAAAGTAAAGAGGAGGGGAGGGGAAAAAAAGAGAAAAAAGAGAATGAGAGAAGGAAGGGAAGCTGTCCTGATCCAGAGGAGGGAAAAACTCCATCTCCATCCTATGGTTGCCAACAATGTGAATTCTGTGTGGAGGAAATGAAGGCAGACAATTTGCTGGAAAGAGAAAGCGGGCACACAGCAGATTCCATATCAGCTTTTGAGGAGCAATTCAGCATCCCAGGGAAAGACTGGCAGGATTTCCACCACACACATCTAGGGCCTGGCTCCACACTGTCATCTGCCTGTAGTTTCCTGTAGTTCTGCCCTGCTCTAAAGAGTTACTGGAAGATTCAAAGAACCTGTACTTTCATGGAAAAGCTTACATAAAAAAAAAGAAAAATTTGCCTCAGGACCACATAGAAATTACAGATTCTACTTAGCAGGAATTAACATGTCAGCTCCTACAGGATGGCTACAGAATCCAGATACAAAAGAGGATTAGACCATGCTAATTTTCTTGTAGAAGATATTTGTCATCTTTACAGAAACATAACATTAAGTATTAAACTCTGTGTATCTTAACAGCATTTCAGTTCTAAATTCATAATTCAAACCAAGCATGGCAGAGCGGTATCTGTCTGTGGCAGTGCCAGCCTCTTGGTGAAAACAAGGAATTCCATGCCCATGCTACACCAGCTTATAATTTTATGTATGCAACACCCAAGAGGCTGACTGAGAAAAGGAGGTGGCCAGGTTCTGCTGTGTGCTGATCTGAAACCCCTTGGAGTTTTCCCTTTAATGAAATGGATTTTGTCATGCCGAGCCTGTATTTCTCATGAGTACACTGATATTCTTGTTTGTAGTTTACAGTCATACAAATAGAAATATTTCCATGCATGACCAAGCCAAAACTGTTTATCATCTCGTCCCACTCTTTCTCCCAGAGCTGAGGATCCAAGCCAGCAGCAGGACATGGATTTAGGTCAGGCAAATCAAATGTCAGGCACCAGCCAAGCGCTCCTGCCAACTGCAAAGTGAATTCTGCAGCCCCAGCAAGGCTCTGCTCTCCCTCTCGTGGCTCCTGAGACATTCAGTGTTGGTAGCTGAAAGCTCAGAAACCCAGAGCATTTTAATGCCACAGGTGGAAATGTAAGAGCTGCACCTTTATTTGTGACTGACTGAAACAAGGGGGTTTGTAATGAGGGTAGGTTTGGGGGGTTTTTATTGGTTGCTTGTTTGGTTTTTTTGTTTGGTTTTTTTTTTTCCCCAAGTCATTACAGTTTTCAAGAGTTCTCTGAGCACAGCAAGTCTGATTAGCAGCTTTCATACACTGGGCACAGCACATTTTTTAGAGCTGCTGTCTGTTAAGCCAAACACCTTCTCCTGAGGGGACCTGAGACACTCAGAGCTACCAGGGAAAGATGCAATGGCCAAGCAGCAATGACAGAAGCTCCAGCTGGAATCAGCAGCTCCAAATCATTCATTTGTTAAGAGAGATCTCTTGTTAAGACTGATTTGAATGAGGAGAGGTGTGTTTTGAGGAACATGAAGCCAATTGAAACACTTTCCACTGCACTTTGCTAATGCAATTTTTGCTGCTCTTAATATCTTCCCTGAGTCTACAGAGAACCAGGCTCAGAAGCACAGGAGACTTAAGACTGTAATATTTTAATTTTTGTGCTGACAGGCTTTTGGCATAATCTTTGGTAGACTTGATTTGCTACTCTGACTTGCAGAGCTGCCTGAGTTGGACAAAAAGCAACATAAAAACTCCCTCTGACCTCTCTGAGCCAAGGGCAGGCATTGGTTTTGTAGCTGCTCACACCTGTGGCACTGACTCTGCACATCTGGCCTCATTCAGCACCCAGGCAGAGGGGAACTGCCCTGCTGCTGCTAGATGCTTGAAGAGGGGGAGAATTGTTTGGGTTGGATTTCCTCCCTCCCCATCACTGCCAAAATTTTGGCTCAGCAGAGAAATGAAGGTTCAAACAGTGGCGAAACCCATATTTTGTTAATTTTATAATAAAGAACACACATGATCAAGTCCAACTTCCCATAAACCTACTTTGCTAGAAAAATCAATCACACAAAACAGTAAAAGCAGGTGTTTTAGTTGCCTTGATGCAGATGAAACAATACAAAGATACCAAGTGTAACCTGAAGCATTATCTTAAATGTATTTCATCAAGGAAAGAAACAGGCACTGCTGGCCATCAATTTAAGTAATGCTATTTTAGCCACAGCACAGAGCTTTGATTAAATTTAATACATCTTTTATATGAACAAGCAAATATACTACAAAGATTATTACATTTTATTACACATGGATTATTTCTTATGGGGCCTTTGACATTCCTATTAAGATACTTAATTTTTTGGCACTTTTTCCAAGTCCAAGACTGAACAAATGCAACACTGGAAAGGTCCAAACCAAAACTAAGGCATGCATGCTCCCATTAGAAAAATGAAATGAGTTTCCATGATATTAATGAAATTTTTCTGCTTCCTGCTAACTAGTGAAACACCAAACTGATCCACCAGACACCAACACAGGCTTTTCACTTACTTTGCTTTTTCCAGAAGTTTTATTGCTTCTTCTCTTCTATCCTGGTCCAGATACAGTATTGCCAGCTCCAGCAAGGCATTTGGAATTAGGTAATGGTCATATTTTATCTTCTTCTCACTGCATTGGAAAAGAAATAGCCTAGAGACCTTTAAATGATATATTGTTTCCCTCATTTAACAGCTCCAAACACAAATAAATAGGAGATTAGGTAAGATCAGAAGGAGCAATCAATCTCTATTACAACACTTGTCATGTTCTCTATCTGAAGCTCCCTTCTGGGTTATTAAATGTGTATTTTGCATAAGCATCCTACACAGTATGTATAATCTCAGGATCAGAAAATAATGCCTTTATTATCAGGGAAATGTTAGAAAAGATGACAATATCATGAGCTCTACCCATGTGAGCTGACAAAAAGAGGTGCCATGCACCACATGATGTGCAGAAAGTCCCAGTGTAATCATGCTCCCACCAGTCTCTGCAGAGTTCATTTGTATTTTTGGGTACAGCTTCTTCAGGACTGGGAAGAGGAAGAGGGCAATAAAAGCTAAGTGGTAACTGAAAAATTTTGTGCACCTATAGTCCCTCAAAAAGGGGAAAACACCTCAATTAAAATTATTTTAAAATAAAATTAAAATTGAAGATCTGAAATTCTTCAACACATGGCTAATAACAGTAGAAATTAAAACTGAAATACCTTGGAGCAAACACTAAAGATACTGCAACCCTCTCCCTTCTATTCATATCATGGTTGCATCTCCTCTTACTTGAAACTCAAGAGCTCTCCTACATGCCAGGTATGAAAACTTACTTTAAATAGATGTAATTAAAGTGGTCTTCTGCTTCTGAGATCTTGCCCAAATGCTTGAAGCATAATCCCTTTAACAGCTTTATCACACACCGGTCATCTGCCAGCAGTTCTGTAGCTGCAGGAGGAAGGAAATGGCACATTTTAGAAAACTCTACAGCAGAGAAGATTTTCCTGCCTGTAGGGAAACTTTCCAAAGGTAAGTGTGAGTACATTCCATGTATGGAAATACAGGAAAGAACTAGCTGGTGAATTTAATTTAAGGCAGAGACAAACACCCATCAACCTTTTCATAAATTGGTCAAACTTTGGCCAAAAATTATTGGGCTGTTCTTTCCCTCCCTGCTCCCACTGAACAGCTATTCCACAATCTTACTGCTCTGACACCTAAGAACTAATTTAAGGTGTCCATTTTGTAAATACTAAAGTCCAGCTTACAATCTCTCAACCCTTTGCCTTTATTGCCCTGTACAGCTCTTTTGCTCCCTGACTTGTAGTCACATGGCCTACTCATGGGCAAGAATTCTGTCAATTCTCCACCTTCATTTGGCTAAATAAAAATATGTGAAACTTTGCTACCTGTACCTCACATCTTACCATACCTTCTTTGGAGTTTATACTTTTGAGAGCCCAGAGTCTTTCCAGCTTCCCCTAGTTCAAAATCTTTACTATCAACACTCTTTCTCCATCAGAAAATTTCTGCATAATGCATATCAAAGAAAACTGCAGGGTTTTTCATAGCCAATCCATATAAGCAGCTTACTCTTACAAGTTTATAGGCAAAACCTTCAGCTTGGTTGCTCATTTCCAATTCGTTAAATATGCCTGAAAACAGCAAGTCAATATTTTGAACAGGCAACACTTAAAAATGGTGGCATGTTTAAAATATATTCCACTTTTCAATTACATGTCCTCATAGTGTTCTACAAACATGAATCTGCTACAAATCCCTGCAAAATGAAGCCTTAGCCACAATTTACCAACTAAGAAAAAAAAAAGGAACAGGGAAATACTTCACTTACTTAAAATGATGAAACAAAATGGGTGACAAAGAAGGTGAATAGGCCAAAGTCCTTTTTCTAAGATATCACCTTCACTAAAAATATTTCCCCCATTCTCTTTTTCAATTAATTAAAAATAGATAGTTTTAGCCAGTGTTTCAGGCAACCCTTTCAAATCTTGTGTAACTCACTGCACAAAAGTCCAAGGCCCTAGAAAAGACTGCAATGCAGTGTTTTAGCCTATATTCCTTTGTCAACAGGGCCTTGATCCTTTTGCAGGAAGGCTGCATGTAATAGTAGTAAGATCAAATATTGGTCAAGGAAAAACTGACAAATGCTGTGCAGACTGCTTGCACTCCCACAGGAACTGGGAAACACTGACAAGAAATAAACACCAATTGAATTTTCTCATGGATTGCTAATTCAGAGACTGACAGAAAATGTGGTAGCAGAGGCTGTTTCAGTTCAATCCCATATTGTGCTCATTGACAGAAAGGCCATCCCTGGTGTCCTGGATTTCTGCAGCACACTGGTGACACCAGAACACTCAGCCCAAAGGTCACATCACAAACTGACAGCACTTCTAAAACACAAAACCAACTCCTCTCCTATTTACCCTTCAAAACTGAGGATAACAAAATCTGAGGGTAACAGAGCTTCAGGATCCAAGTAATGAAGTCAATGAATATCCTGATGTGATCTAACAAAATAAACAGACCTTTATCACATGTCATAAACCACTCCTAACACACATCTGTGGATGGAAAAATCACTTACTATTATTGTAAATAGTTGCTACCTTAAAAATAAAAAATATTCCTATCTGCATAAATAGTTAATGGTTTCATTAACTATGTTCCTCCTGTGACCCAATTAACTTTACTAATGAGTGTGTCTCTATTCACAGATAATATCTCTAGCTATTGCAGTGTAAAATAACTGCTTAAACCCTACCACTGGTTACCTGAACTTCTTGCCAATGCTTCTTCTGCTTCATTTAAAGTCTCTAACATGCCTTCTGTTAAGTTGGGACATTTTCCAATTACAGCATAGCCATTCCAGATATACATCATTTCCTGGGGTCAGGGAGAAATGACAGCACCATTAATTACAGCACTGGATAAATGTAGTTGTCAAATACTTCAGTTTATCTCTGCATAATGAAAAAGTTACAGGTTCCTTAAATAAAGTCAGTTTGTCAAAATGTATTTTCATTGCAACTGAAAACTTGTTACACTGTTTATCAGAACAAATTAGCCCTGGAAGACGCCTCAAGAGCCACTTACTGAAAACAATGCAAAGGAAATTGCTTGAACAGAATGCAAACACATTCTCACTTATGGCAGAAGGTAAGTACCAACAAAACAGACTAAAAAAATTCACAGCACATGGCTAATTGTCCCTTCATTAAGGTTTCCTCTTGTTTTTCAGTTCTATCCTAGCAAAGGCAGTAATATCCATAAATAACTGCAATGCACTGCTTCTACAGAAAAATTATGAAATCTCAGGACAGCAAAACAAACCAAAAAGAAAACCAAACACTCTAACCTTTAAGCCAAGTTTCAAACACACACACAGAATTTTAAATCTGAACTGTAAACTTCTTACATTCCTCAGGTTTGTTTGATGTTCCCAAAGAAAGCAACTTCTTTATTATTGAACTGTCCTTAGAGTAAGTTTTATTAAAAACTATTGGCTGAATTCCTATTTGCTATTGGGGTTCTTAGAGTATATCACCAAATGTGCCCATTGCTACTTCCAATCACAAAGTGAAAGATTAAAATATTGTACAGACTTAGAACTGGCCTTCATGACATTATTTAATCACAAAATCACAGAACATCCTGAGCTGGAAGGGACCCACCAGGATTGTTGAGTCCAGCCCAAGAGCACCCCAAGAACCCCATCCTGTGCCTGAGAGTGTTGTCTAAAATCTTCTTGAGCTCTGTCAGGCTGGTGCTGTGACCGTTCTTCCCTGGGGAGCCTGTTCAGTGCCCAATCACCCTCTGGGGTGTCTGAACCTTTACCTAATATCCAACCTAAACTTTCCCTGACACAGCTTCATGTCACTCCCTCAGGCCCTGTCACTGATCACCAGAGAGAAGAGATCAGTGTGTGATATATTTATTCTATTTATTTACATTACCTTCTCTGTGGGTGATAATTTAAAGCATTTGGATAAAATTTCTATATAGAACAAGTGAATTGTGGAATTGTGGCACAAAAAGCTGTCAGGCTAGAATAGCTGAAACAGCATGTTAACCTCAGTCACTGTTGCTTTCACCATCTGGTCTCTGTTGATTGGAAAACCTGTGCTGAGCTTCCTGGACCTAGTGCAGATTCATTAACGTGGTTTTCAAACAGGAATATTCAAACCACATTTATTCAAGCTAAATCTCTGAGCTAAGACTTGCTTGAGGACTCACTCTTTCCAGCAAGCCTCCTGATAATGAAAAGAAAACTCCTGGAGCTGAGGTTCTGTCCCCAGTTCCCCATCCATGAAATGCCTTTGTCTGTTCAGCTGCGGCATCTGCTGCCTCGGAAACGCAACTGCATGGCAGCCAAGGACGGGGGGAGCTCCTGCTACAGGAACCTGCTCTGCCAAAATCCCAGCAGCACAGCCCAGCCAAGCCCCAGTGTGCACTCCTTCCCCTCTGAAACCTGAAAGGCACATCAAAGTAACCTAATTATTTCTCTCACGTCAGTCTCACTAGTGGAACACAGCCCCTGGTGAATGCCCATGCTCTGCTGTAACAACTATTTCAGTGTCACCCACTCCTGGTGGGCTGGGGAGTGGTTTCCAAGAGGTTCTCCCTGTTCTGGCATTTTCTTAAAGAATATTTACTAATTATCCATCTCCTTCTTAAAAACACAACAGCTGAAAGCGCTGCAAGTGTTAACACCACTGCACTTGGCGAATCCCTAGACTCAAAATCCTTTTATGTTCTTTTTCACATGTTCTTTGCAGACAGATTTTTGTAAGTGCAATGGGTGCCTCATGCAAATGGCCACAGGGAACAGGCCAGCATTACAGGGGAAAAAAAAAAAATTAATTGCAGTGGTTTTCTGGGGTGGCCAAAGGAGTCAGTTGTTTCATCCCAGCAGCCATGAGCTGCTCTGCAGAGCACCAAACTGCAAACATTGAGGAGCACATTAAACAGCTCCTTACATGCAGTGCCCAAACCTTCCATTGTTTCCTTGACACCACCCCTCCTTGTACCTTATAGTGCTCTGTTAGTAAGTGACACGACAGAAGAGACCCAGGGCAAAGTTCCTCCAAAGGGGACCAAAAGAAAGCTGTTGGGAGCACGCTGCTCTATAGCTGGAATAATGAGTTACACATGCAACACATTTACGTGTCACAAACAGCTGGCTGAGTTCCCTGTGGCTGGTGCATGCCCCACTTTTACAGCATTCCTTGCATTCATCTGGCTTTGCTTTGGGAACATTCCAGTCTCCTGCAGAGGGTTTACCTTAGAAACACGGAAAGATACTATTCCAATTATCTCTGGTTTATTTCTCTAAATTGCAAAAATGTTGGAGAGGGGGTGTGTGTGGATATTTCTTACTTACCAAAGGTGGGACAGGCAAAGGAATGGGGTTTGAAGAAAGATACCGTCGTGCTTTCCGAATTGCAAACTTTTCTGTGGGCAGAGATTTCCCTGCAATTTTCAGTTTCAGGCTGGGAACAATCCTGAAAGTTTAAAGGAAAAACGTAAGGAAATTTTCCCCTGTGAACCTCTGAGATGAAGACATTCAAACTTCAAAACCAAAAAAAAAAAAAAACCCAATAAAAAAAGATCAAACCAAGGAGAATTTTAAAAAGCTGTTACACACTGGGCTATCGCTACCTCGGGGAAGCTGAGCAATACATACTCACAAAAGCTGTCTTTATGCAGGGCACGTTTATCTCTAGGCTTCCTCTTTAATCAAGCAGGAGGAGAGGGACTCTTCCCCACTGAAAGATTAAATTAGATGATGCACCTGACTTATAAAGGGCTCATCTCTCTTCACAGACTAAGAAAGAGGCAAACTAGCTTTTGTCTCCCCATTCTCCCAAAAACTAAAACTATTCACTTCATAATGGATTCCAAATTCAGTGAAATCTGTTGATAATGATTACAAAAGACATAGAAAACTTGAAAAGAGTAATGTAATCACATTTTAAAAAAATAGATTTAATATAAAAATTGTAAACCCTAAAGTAACCAAATTTTTGAGGTTATCTCACTGTGTTTATAATGCATAGATTCACCTGCACATTTAATTATTTCTTACTTCTCTGAGACTCAGAACCCAAGAATCAAGTTGTGCTGATGCTCCCACTAAGGAAGAACACATCTTGAAGCAAAATCCATTGAAGGCTTTCACAGCTGACATTCCATTTTTATTAAAGGAAGCAACTGAAAAAGAATGCATTACATGGAACAGCAGCAGCACTGTATGGCCAGGAAAAATCTGCTGTCTAAACTCAGGGTCCACTTTAGTCTAAGGGATGTTTAACTCTGCATTTTCTCACAAATCCAATGCTATTTGCACAATAATTTTGCCTCTGTTACCCCAGTTCTGTGACATGAAAAGATAGCAAATTGTTGTAACTGTGAGTTTGCAAATTTTACCTAAATAATTCAACTTCGCTGTCTCCAAAAGGACTGCAGTCATCTGGTCCAAACATACTGAGATAAGCAGCTTTCATGTAAATGTAAGTAGCCTGCAAATGCAATGAAGAATATCTATATAGAAAAATGAATTTACAGCATCACCTTTATTCATATAAAGCACAAAACAGCAACATAAAGGGAAGAAGTTGCTGCTTTTGCTCACAGTCTTACAAAACTTTAAGTAAGAGATAAGTATTTTAGAAAGTGAGTACAGAATATTGGTTTTAGATCATGTTTTTAGATACATGCTTAGTATGTATCAGTTTATAGTTTGTGTCCAAATTCCAAGAACAAATCTTATGCTTGAGTAAAGTTTTTAATACTCTTAGGAACACATGCTAGAAAACCTAAGATAAGGTCATGCTCAGAGAAAAAACCTAATAATATACAGTCTCTGTGTCCCATCACAACTTGGTAACATATCCCAAATGGTAACTTCTGGAAAACAGTCACTGCCTGGAGTTCAGGAGAGCAGGCCTTGGCCTCTTCAGGGATCTGTGTGGTAAAGCACCATGAGATAAAGCCCTGGAGGGAAGAGGGGCCCATGAAATCTGGTTAATACTCAAGGATCCCTTCCTCCAAGCCCAGGAGCAATGCATCCCAAAAAAAGAGGAAGTCAGGCAAAAACTCCTGGAGGCCCATGTGGGTGAAAAAGAATCTCCTGGACAAACTCAAGATGCAAAAAGGAAACATACAGAGGGTGAAGGGAAGGACAGGTAGCCTGGTAGGAATACAGAGAAATTGTCTGAATGGCCAGGGATCAGGTTAGGAAAACTTAAGCCCAATGCCTGGCCAGGGATGGAAAGAGCATCAAAGACTCTATAGGTACGCTGGTGATAAAAGGAAGACTAGAGAAAATGTGGGCCCTCTCTGGAAGAAAGCAGGACACAAGCTTACCCAGGATCTGGAGAAGACTGAGGAACTCTGACTTTTTTTCCTCAGGCTTCACCATCAAGTGTCCCAGCCTTCTTGTCCAAGTCACAGAAAGCAAAGGCAGAGAATGTGACATGAACTGTCCAGGGCAGGAGCAGTTTGGGTTCAAGACCATCTAATGAACCTGAAGGGGCAAAGCTCAGGGATCCCAAGGGAAGGGGTGAAAGACGTGGCTAAGCCCCTACCCAGCATATCTGTGAAGTCAAGCCAGCTCAGGAAAATTCCCACTAACTGGAATAGGGCAAATATTTTTCAAAAGGCAAAAAGGGAAGAGAGAGGGAAGAGAGCTACCAGGGTTCTGCATTGAAGAGCTCCTCCCTTCCAGATGCACAGGGACATGGGTGCCACTTCTAATTGCATTTATTACCCTGGAGGCACCACCGTGGCTCACCTCACTCACCAGCAGAAGAGCTTTTACCCACAGCATAATGAAAGAAATGGCAACTTGCACCATCAATTGCAACATCTGATGACACAACCAGTCAATATACAGCATCTTTAACAAGTTGCTCTTCACCTACCAGTTGGGCCCAAAAGATTTGTGCTTGCCCACCATCTGTTCAGATTTGGATGTTTGGGATTCACATCATTTTGCAGCAGTCACAGCAGGCCAGGTTTTACTTTACACTCTACACCTTCAAAGCCACAAAAAATCTACTCAATTTACTTGAAAGTTTGTAGATAGAGGCCTCCTGCCCTCCTGAACTTACCTTTGACCAAGTGTTTTCCTTGCTCAGCAGGTCTGCATAGAAAAAAGCCATTTTCCACTGGCGCTTGTAGGTGAAGCACCACATCAGCTCCCAGTAGCACATGTGATGAAACTGCTTCCAGTACTGCTGAGCTTCACAGCATTCCTCGTACCTATGGACTGCCTGCACACAGAGATTGCCAAACACTGCCTTAGCCAGGTGTAAATGCACAGACAGGGGAGCTGTAACACACACTGGGGCTCCAGGGTCTGCCTGCATGGCTCCTGCAGCTTCCAAATTATTGCCAGCCCAATATTTCCCAAAATCACATTGCTTCACCCAAGAGATTCTTGGCTCCACAGTCATCCTGGTGCTAGCAAGTTTACCCTGCCACAGAGCTCCCCATTCCTTAAAATTATGTTTCTAAGCATATTCAAAATGAATGTTTGTGTCTTGGGAAATTAGGAAACTAAAGGCAGAGGACAGATGCTCAGCTGACATTTATTGCTGCACTTCCATGGATTTCAAGGGAGCTACTGCCCTGCACACCAGCTGATACTCTGTCTCACAGTGTTTTGGGCATGCATTTTTCATCTTAATAATTTTTTCTAGTCTTTTATGACTCTGTTCACACTGAAGGCAAAGGATTACCACTGGGTCTCATTAAAGATACAATCTGCTGCAGGATGGGAAAGACAATGACAAAACTGTGTCATTAATCCTGGTGGACTACATTATCACCAGAAATTGAGAGGGGTTGCAAAATCAGGTGGAGAAACAAGACAGAATAGTGTACAAAATTCCTGTTTGTAATTCAATAAACTACGAATTACATATAGTCCAAAGCCACAGGAAGCATTAGCCAAAAAGGAAATAACATTCCTGGAGGAATTTTTCTAAAGCTTTTGAATTTTACTTTCTCAAGAGCAAAATGATTACTTACCGCATCAATATTACCCTTTAGTGTTTCTATCCTCCCTGCAAAAAACAGGAATATGGCTCCCTGTAATAAATAATAATAAAAACACAAGTATTCTATAACAGTTTTCAATCTGGCCATACAGTCTAAATCTTTGATTTTTGGCATGAAAACATTAAATGACTACAGCAAATAAATTATGATTCATTTTACCTTTGGATAGCGTGCCAAGTAAGGCTTAAGTAGCTTTTCTGCCTCCTCAACATTTCCTTTTCCTGTCCCTAGAATGTGTAAAAATGCAAGTGATAAAAATAGTTAGAAAACAAAGCAAAAAAAGAAAGCAGGAATGCAAGGTACTGATTTTCCATCCTCAATTGGCCAACATGTTGGTTCCCCTCTCCATTAAGTAAAGCATAAATACAGGTTGGTGCTGCACTAAGGCAGTAGCAGGAAGCCCTGAAAACATTGTGCTTCCTGACTTGAAAATTCAGGCACAGACAAACATTTTGTGGAATGATTTAGCAGGAGATAACACAGAAGTACACATTAGAGGGAAGCTGTCACCTCCCACAGAAAATCCAATGTCAACAAAGCAATTATCATTTACAGCCATTATTTTAACTTCCCCAACAATGCACCTGGCTAAAACAGATTTCAGTTCTCACAACTTTCTTGGCCATCCCCAGTATCTCCCTTCTCACCTGTTAAAAAAACCTCTATCTTGAAAACTTAAAACACACTCTTCACTTATGATTAGTGTAAAATGGCCCACAAATGACCCACATTTAATCTGGTTACAAACAAACTATTCACCAACAAACAGGTGATGGAATCATCTTTTTCCCCTTTGTGTCCCACAAGAACTAATCAAATCCAAGAGTTATTATAAACAATCTTACCTAACACAAAGGTCATGAAAGTATGATAGCAAAGCAACAGCATGGTACACAGCACCGACCTAAAGCTGTATGAAGATGCTCCCTCTTGAAGCTGCAGCAGACCATGTTCCTGTGAAACACAGGGAGGGGGACAAGGTGTTGGGAAAGAACCAGGGCTGTGCAGGGTTAGCTACAGATTGCTTACTAAATTCCCTAAAAGGCACTGAAAAATTCCTCAAAAGGCACTAATTGATTATACAGTAATTAAAGATAAAAATACACCTCTTCATTTATCTAATAGTTTTTCATTGAGTTACTGCTTAGTCTGGAAAACACCTGGTGACAGAGCAGCAACTTGGGATGTATTGCATGGTTAACATAAGAAAACGAGAGACAACTTATCACTGTGATCCAAGTGCTGCTAAACAGCATTCCAGAAACAAAACACAGGGTTTTGAAAACAAAAAAAGCAAAACAAAACCCACACATCACCATTGTACAGTGTATTCTTGTTTGCTGTGGTTCACTGCACAGAAGAGTTAAAGGTATCAAGAAAATAAAATCTGCAATGAACAGAGGAAAATATGTGAGGGCAAAAAGACATTTTAAAGTATGCCAAGAACAAAAGGAGCTTTGCAATGATGTTGGCCCACTACCACCAGCGGAAAAATATGATGAAAAGAAGAGAATTCCTGTTCCCTTTGGGAAGAACTAAAGCAATCAAGGATAACACTGTGTTCATAGCCAATGACAGCATGATGGATAACCACCTTCAGGGATTCAAGTTCCTGAGGCAAGAGCATTTATCAGCCCATTCTAGGACTAGTTCCATGGTATCAACAGCAAGAATATAAATATGCAAATGTATCAAACAAGAGATCTGCCTGCTTGTAAATATGCACAGTAAGGCATTCACTGTGTGCTGGGACAAAATCTGTTTCCAAGTTACTCCATCACTGCCCTGGAAGGTCGCTGGAACACGACGTGTGTGACTACAAGGACACCTTTCCAAACCAGCCACACTATAAACAGGAACCCTGAGGGATTTCTACCAGAGGCACCAGGAAAGGCATCAGGGAGAGCCCTCAGAGCACGATCCCAGCACAGATTTACATCTTTTGTGTCTCCTTGTTGACTGAGGGGTGTTACACCACCACGCCTTTACTGCTTACTGTGTAAACACTGAAGCCTGTAATCATATTCTCATTTTCCTCAGACATCTATTTTTGCACTTAACTAGTGCAGGTAATTGTTTTTCACATAAATATAGGGGAGGTTGTGATTTTGCTTCTCTTTGTTTTTATTTTGAGAGGTTGTGATTTTGCTTCTCTTTGTTGTCATTTTGAAAGCTCAATGTATTACATTAATTACTGCTACAAGGAAAAATATGACTCATATTTGCAGATCAATTATTAGAACATCTAGTTGGGACAAAAAAATGAAAATACTGACTTGCATGTCACTACAGAAGAAATTAAAAGATAGTAAAATCATTACAGAAAATCAGTGACTTAATGGAAATCAAGTACTTAGCAAAATGAAACCAGCTTCATTTTCTTCTGAGAGGAAAAGTTTGATGGACACAAATAAGTAACAAAATACGATATATTCAGCTTCTTCAAACAGCCCAGATGAAAACCATAAACATTTGTATTTTTAAAAAGTAGCACTTCAAGGTAGAAGTAAAATAAAACATTCTGTGGAATGAATTTTGGCAAAAAAAATTCCAAAGTATATTTCCAAAGCACATTTTTTTGCAATGAAAATCTTCAGGCTTGATATTTCACTGAGCCTTTACTGGCACTAAACTTTACAGCATTTGGTATCTGACATATTATATAAAAATAAATATCAAATGAATGTGAATAGCACCAAGAATGATTCAAACAGACTTTGTTTGTCATATAAAATAATGAAACCTTTGTCAAGTTGATCTCAATTATGTTTTAGTCTCAAAAGCATATTTGAGTGCAGCCAAACACAAAGTTATAACCTGTATGGACAAGGAATGAACCCACACCCATCTTACACAGGACTGCATCCTGGATTGCAGTAACTGGATTAAGAATATTGCCCATTCAACAGAAGAGGGCTTCAAATCTGACACCCTTAATTCTAAATTCTTGAACTGAGTAGTTACACAGGCATGAGGAGCTCACTGAGCAAGTTAGTTCACTCTGTGGAATGTCCATAAGCCTATCTAGTCCAGCAGAGGTATTAAAGGCTCTTTACTTTTCACTCTGCCACCTGAATATCCCAAACTTTCTGTATTAAAGTAATAACAACCAGTAGAAGACACAGCCTAAATAAAAGAAATCTAGAAGTAGTTGTTATTAGTATTTTAATTCTTGCTTGTAGAATACACTGCAGCAAAGCTGCTTCTCAAAAAAACCTCTTGCACACTGCATCTCTCACAATGGGATACCCAGAAAACAGGAATATGAAGGGTGTCACTGGGAGCCATGTTTTACATCCCACACTCCCTAGCTGGCCTCCTGAGGCTCCCTCTGAGCCTGGCTGGGGCAGGGGTGTTCCTCCAAGGGAGAGTTTGGCACAGCAGCCTGGGTCAGGCACATGAATCACCTTTTCAAGCACCACCCTTGCTCCATAGGGAGCCTACAGGGATTAGCCAACAATCCCCATCAGCCAAGGGACTGCCAGGAGCTGGGCAATGTAGGGCTCTCCGGGATCAGACTGAGGATCTGGGAACCAAATCACAAGCACTACTTGAGCCTGAGGAGTAACTCTGCAAACACACTGCACTCACTCAGGCACTGGCACCAGTGAGTACATTATAGTTAATTGCCAGGACACACCTTCTAACCATAAATGACCCATAACTACCTCCACACCTATGCCACAACTGATAGAAGCAATCCCAAAACACCAGGAATGAGTCTCCAAACAAAGTCCATTACAGGGCACTTGATGACAATATAAAGCAGATGTCAAGGCAGTGAGTGTTCATAATTTTTCCAGAAAGACATTTTTGTAATTTCCCTAATTGACACTAACAAATTTCAGGTTTTTCTTCACACAAAACATAAACTACTCTGAAGGATATAAGGGAGAACACAGAGCGGACATGATGCAGTGTGGTAACTCAGCATTCTGTGCAAGTTCCTCATGACATCCCACAATCTAATTCCCTAGACTGTCACTACATCATATTATATCAGTATCTCATTGATTCAATTCTTGTCCCAAGACACCCAATGCTTCATTCAGAACTCCCCATGTGAGCACTGGGAATTCTGACAGCAACTGCAGGATGAACAAGGACAACGCTCAAAATCATTATCAGACAACACTGAGACTGGTTCATATTTATTTCAGCTGTTACTGACTAAAACCCATCGACTTTCCTGAAACAAAAGTTCTTGGATGTTATTTTTAAATAAATATTTTGATTAGGGATCTTGACAATTAAAGCAAAGCAGGGTCATTGTTCACGTCCCATGGCCTGATCACATTGCTGCAGGTTTAGCAAGGAGGATGGATACATTAACAGCTTTTCAAAGAACTGACTGATTAAGCTGATAGGGCATTTGAATGTATCCCATTAAACAATATTATATTTAAGCTTCATTTAAAATTTGAAGAGACTAAAATGCAATTCAAAAGAGATGCTTAGTGAGAAACTGGAATTCAATTTATTAGAAATTGACACATCAAGAATATTCTTCAGCTTTGGGAAAAACGTCCTCCCACATTAAAAAAAAAAAAAAAGTATAATTTGAAAGAAATTGGTTCTATCTGACAGTTTTCCTGCCTGCTCATGAGATCATGCTGTCATCCGACCCCCTGACAAATTGCACCTAACATATGGTAGGCTCACGTCAAACTGCTCTACAGTTTAGCAGCACAGCATTTGTGATCACCTATAAAATAAGCCCAGGAGTAAATATTAGCCTGAGAGCTGGCAGAGGAGGCAGTGGGGAGGGTTCAGGCTTCCAGGCAGACAGTGCAGGGAGTGTCCTGCTGTCACATCACAGGTGAGTCACGTCAAACACCGAGCGCAGATGGGACACACGCTCCACCTGCTGCCCAGCACAGGGGCCTGACCCACCTCTGCCCACGAGGCTCCTCTCTCAAAACTGGGCAAAACTGCACCCAACCTCACTGCCCAAATGTGGGGCCTGTGCTACCAAACACAAATTAGCCCATGATTTCAGTAATGATGCAAGGGAAAGGAGCTTGAACAGTGCAAAGGGCATAGCTGGCACATCTGGGACTGGAAGGGAACAAACACGGCCTCAGGCTACTTTTTATATTTTCTTGATCTTATCCCACCTACTATTTTGAGACTCCAGACTGCTGTTAAGTTGATCATGATGTCCACAGTGCCTGCAAATGGCTTAGGAAGTGCTGGAGCTTTGGGCATGTCCTCATTTGCTGTTCCCCATGACATGACTCAGAGATAAAGGAGAGTCCCCAGGGGTAAATGTGCTGGCTTTGAGGTAGGTTGGTATCATGGAGGATCACACAATACAAATTTATATCCAGTTTTAACAAACACATCACCCACACCAAAATCCAGCTGTCCTGCAGTGCACTACAGTTCTCCCAGGTAATCTGCAAACAGCTCAAGGTACTAACCATGACTCTGCTGCACAATCTCAGAGTAAGTATGTAAAGGAAAAGACTGTAGCACCAAACACAGGTGTATGAAAATCTCCTGGACAAGTGGAGCACAGATGAACAAACTTTCCTCTCCTCTGTCACTGCTTCTTTCACCCTCTAGACTGCCTACTGTTTTATTGGAAACTCTGGAAACCCACCACTGGAAAGGACTGCACATGTAATTGCAATTTTGCTTTTGGCTTTAGGCACTTGACTCACAAATGTTAAATGCAGAAAGACTTTTTTAGGGTGTTAAAATAAAATTTTCAACAGATAAATCCATTGTTGATCAATGAACTTTGATCAACGTGTTTAAAATGCTCCTTTGTATGGTGTGCAAACAACAGAGGTTTTGCTCAAATTTATGGTAATCTATGTCATGCTTCAGTGAGTTATTAGGAACTGTAACAGGAGCTGACTCATCAACACAAATATCAGCCCACTCACAGCCATGCAAGAAATCCCAGGGCCAAATGAAAACTCAACTGCAGGGACTATTTCCATCTGCAGGAGTAAAATGAGCATTCACCAAAGTATTCTCAGAACTCTGCTGGTATGTGAATTGCCTTCACATTTCTGAGAGAATATTTGCTTTAAATGCTCTGTTGTTGAAACTGACAGGTAGAACTATTTGATTTTTGCCTTTACTGATGTGAAATAGCTCCTGGTCAGCTCCTGGAAATTTCTAAATTGTAATCCACACTCTGCTCCTTGTTTTTAAATAAGACATTTTATTTTCAGATAATAAGATCCTTCCTGTAAACCAATAAAATGGTGATGACAGTAATCCACCTGCCATGTAAGGCTTCAGTTCTGATTTTAAAATTATACTTTTCTCCTTAAAACTTGTCTTGTAAATAGTAAGTATTATAAAAGAGTGAGTTTTCTGGTGCTCCATTACTGAACTTCCTTCCTTAAACATCTTGCTCAACAACCTAAGCCAGACTGGTTACTCTACAGGCAAAAAAGCCCTTACTCCCTTAGGCAGGAGAATTTAGGTGTCACACTCAAATTTCCAGTTGCTACTAAAGCAGAAATAAAATAGATTTTTGCTTTCCCCTGCCATGCAAGAACCTGTCAGGAACATTCAGACCCCATAATGACAGTAGTAACTACCAAGGAAGCTGTATAAATATATTAAAGGCTAGGAATACACTTTTGCCTACAGATTTCTTAGGACAAGCCTACATCAAAAGACCAGTAACTAAAAACGTAAATATGTTGACATCCCTGTATTAGCCATTGCTTTTACCACATTTCACAACTGTTTCAACACTGAACAATGGTATTACAACCTTTGAAGTGCAATAATTCAGAAAAAAAAAATCAAGTAAAACTGAGCTGCATGAAAACAACAGTGCCACAGTGCACATGTGTGATACCAGAGGGTTGCAGCTCATGTGAGGGAAAGAGAGAAACTCCTGCCTCTATTTTTTAATTTAAGATGAGGGGAACCAATAATATTTAATTCACATTTACCTTATTCCCAGAAAATCCAACAAACTCCAGTAATCTCAGAATCCGTGCAGGAAACATGGACAATGTCTACAGAGAAAAATGAAAGAGTTATGCAGCAACAGACTTTCTGCCTTTCAGCTACCAATGGCTTCCTACAATTCTTCCAAGCACAAGAAATAATTAATAAAATTACTAAAATCATCTCTATATGACATTTTTCAGGATACACCTGCTGTATTTTACATATAATTTAAACAGAAATACGTTTACACAGCACATGCTTAGTAACTCCAGTACTTGGATGTTTCAGAAATGCTGGGTTCATACCACACAGTCCATATTTGTCCTTTGTGCACTAAATCTGATATTTGGGAATGTGCCAGACTCATGCAAAGCAATGCAAGCAAAAGGAAGCTCCAGGCACTTTGTGCAGCCCATCACCCCTCACATCTCTGGGTCAGTCTCCTCCCAGGAACCATCCTGCACTATTTTCTCATCTGTTTTTTGGCCAGAACACAAGCAACAACAGCCAAGAGTGGCTGGAGCAGCACCTCAAACTTTATTCATGTACCCCACCCCTGCCAACTGCCCTGCTAACAGCCTAGATCCTGCTAGTTTTCCAAGTGTCAATAAAGAATAAGTGGAATTCAACAGGCAGAGGCAACTCTGCTCTGCTCAAGGCTTCTTTGGGCCCTCACACCACGTTGTGGGCAGCAATCTCTTTATTTCTGAAGTGTTATTATCTGATGTGCTCAGACCAGACACTGGGATCCTGCACTGTCAGAGCACACACCTACATTTAACCACATGATCAGTATGATGCCAGTGGAACTTCTCAGGAATTGAAGTTAGGGTCATTTTCAGGAGGTAGCAGGGCAGCAGCTCAGGATGAGAGTGTTGGTACATACCAGGTTAAATGCTCCAACTCCAAGTTTTACACCTCCCTCAAAATGAAGATGGTTCTCTCCTTTGACATAATGCGGGGACTGTATGAGACTGTCCAACTCCCTGGAAATGCACAAGATTCTGTTACAGAGTGAGTAAATAACACGATTAATTATAATTCAGTAACAAAGTAACCCCATTACCCTGAAGTACAGAGCAGTTTAAAAAAGGCCAAATTGTCCTCTCACTCAAGTGCACAACACCTACATTTTGTTGGATTTATCAACAAATAATTCCTGCCACATTAAATTTAAAATGTCAATTAAAAACCATGGAATCCTGGAGAGGAATTCCTGTCAAACAGGAATTCAATAGTCAGTATTCAACCACTTTTCAGCCTGAAAATGTTTCAAGGATGGCTGTTGGGAGCATCACCAAACTTTGCCACTGCAAAAAGAGATGATGGAGCAGTGCATGAGACTCAAATTTAAATTAGCAAGTTTGACTTGATTTCAGTAATCCCTAGATTAAGCGCATGTTCAAAAGAATATTTTGTTTTATATGGGAAAAGACAGCTGTAATAAATATTCTAAAATGAGCAGATGCATCAGAAATTACTTTCACTCATTTTTCTAACTCTTATAGGTCTCAGCTTTGTAGTGTCCCTTTATTTCCCATGTAATCCAGCTCAGCTTGAAATTAATTTGCCTCCAGGCTTTCTATAGCTACGTGGTTTCTACACTACTATTTTAGTTTATTTTGTTAATTATTAGGAGAGGAAAAACATTGGAAAAAATGGAAGAATGTATTTGTGTTCAGGCTGTCACATGCTTTTGACTGGTTGTTGCCAACAGACTCAGCACTATTCCCTGTAAGTGTAATCTTCTGGGTCTGCATTTAGAGCCACCTTCAACCCACACAAACATGGACATTGTCATCTCTCTCCCTTCCAGTGGCCTTCTGGAGAGCCTGGTCTTGATGCTGTTTTGTGTCTGCTGGACGCAAGACATTTTGTACCCACTCTGGATCAAAATTTATAATTCTAAAATAAATAAAATATGATGCATATTTAGCCTTCACTTTTTACTGTGCTTCAACTACTGGTATTAAATGCTCCAAAAAGCTGCAGCTGGTACTATAAAGAAATGCCATTTCATTATGCCTAAAGCCTACAAGACCTGCAAATTCTGCTATGCAGACACAGTGAACAGTACATCATTTAGAACAGTTATTTTTTGGACAGAATTTCAAGGATATAGTACTTGAAGTAGAAAAACCTTGGGAGTTAACAGAGGTCCACTGTCTCCACAATCCAAATAACCATAATGCTCATGTCCTTTGTTATGCAAAGGAAGAACCTGTAGATGTGAGGCCCATAATAAAGACTCAGTAAACACAACAGTAATGAATTTGTGAATTGGATGATTTCACCAGCAGCACTTTTTACTGCTAGAGTGCACTTAATGAGATCATCCCTCTGACTCACCTGTAGGTTTGGTAACTGTTTCGGACTTTGATGCCTCCTTTTATGAAGCTGACCATATTCTCATCCTGTTGGAATGGAAACACAGCAGCAATATGAATTTGTAAGCATTATAAAGGGCTTTTGTCTTCTGAAGATTAATACACACCTGGTACATAACCAGCATGACACAGACAATACAAGCCTCTAAGATATAATTCATGCATTTAGGATTTCCTTTCTATATTAAAATACTTTTTATTCTGTTTAGACACAGGCATTTTATTTTAATGTTTTCTGTGATCAGTTTAGCCCTTTTCACCTTTGAACCATCTGAATTTGCATTAATGAACACAGGGACTCAGCTAATAGATGTCACTTAAGGTACATTTGTGGATCTCTCAAAAAAACAGCTTTCTCTCATTTGTACTTGAGTGTAGTTAGGATGTATCTGGAGCTGAGCCAGGAAATCTTCACCAGTACACTGCCTGTCCTCAAGAGTCTGCAGAACACAGGTTCATGTCTTAAGACTGAAGCAGGTCAGTAAAATCATGCAGGATATGCTCTTTCTGCTTTGAATATTCATACATATACATGAGATCCATACTAGGAAGATAACATGTTACATGATAAGCTATAACAAACTGAGAAATTACACCAAAGTATCTGGGGGGCCATTAGAGGGTCTTTATTTCATAACTTTTTGGAGGCACTTTCTTGCCTCACTTACATAATCAGTCACTCTGGTTTGTTTTGATGTCTGCTGTTACTTTAACTCAGAGAGTCTACATGTGTGTTTTAACAGAAGATATCACAGAAAAATCATAAGAGGGCACTGTGGAGAAAATAGCATGGATTAGATGAATTAATGAGATGTACTAAGGACAGCATATTGGGGGGTGCAGCACACCCAGCCATAAAGGTTCAGTTATATTTTCCTTTAAGTGGAAAATGGAACAAGGAAGGAATATGGCTTTAAAATGCTTACACTCAGAATGATACCAACAACAGGGATAGCCAATGTGAGAATTTTTCAGCCCTTGAAAAATGTTGAGACTACATTTCATGTGTTTTCACATGGTTTTGGTCATTTTTACTGAGCATCAAAACTAACCCACTTCAGTAGCTGAACCAAGTGCCTCTATTTAATTTTTCAAACTGGTTCATGTGTTCATGAAAAATTAAACACAGAAGAGAACAGGAAGCAAAGAGAGCTTTGCAAAAGAGGACAAGAAATTGGTTTTGTACTCTTAATTCTCATGTCTCTGTAAACATTTTCATAAACAGGTATCTGGGAAAAAAAGTGCTTAAAACCAAGAGACACTGCTTTAAAATGCTCCTTTTCTATAGACATAACAGAGAAGTTCTCCTTAACAGTGGAACTCTGGAAGTTCCTTCCATAGTTTTAGATCTCACTCAAAATGGCTACTACTCATCCCAAAGGAAAATGGAAACAGCTACACCTTGGTCATTTCAAAGTCCATCATCAGCACTCCAGAAACTGCTAGAAGCTCCCCTGATTATGGGTGTTGCTGTGAAGCAATAGTTTCTAGCAGAGGGCCTTAGCAGATGGCTGAAAAAGGTTACATGGTTCATAAACTGTAAGCAACATAAATCAGAGCCCACCTGGCAACTCCCAAACACTATAAAAGCACCACCTGCATTCCATTTCCTATCAGCACCCTTGAGCCAAGAAGCAGCAGCCTTTTTCTGACTGTAGCTTTTATTATCCCCTTGGTAGATGAAGAGGCCTACTTTCATACAGCAAGTACAGCCAAATCAAGAAAAAAAAAAATCAGTATTTCAACTGTGACTAACAATTAAAACTGCATGCTGGAGCCCTAGCAAGTACTGCTAATGTTGCTCCATCAAACAAATCAAGCTTCATTAGGACAGACAGATAAAACCCAAAGAAGAGGGAGAGCTCCCCTTTGTTAAAGAGTTAAAGACAGACAGCACTGTTAAGGAGAAAGCATGTGCGCAGCCTAATAGCTATGCAGAACATAATTGCTGCTCAAGAACAAACCAGTGAGAAAGCAGTCTTGGGGAAGGAAACACCAGCCAGACTCAAACAAAAGTCTTGCTTGTATTCCAGCACAACTTCAATGACCATCTCACCTTTTACTTTTTTTTAAATCTGATATCCCAACACGTGATTTAAAAATTGGTGCTTGCTGCAGTTACATTTCACACATCCAAAAGGGAGTGGGGAAAGGTGTCATAGGGCACTCAGCACTATATGTCTTGAGATAAGTATTTTTTAGTAATCATGAGGGAAAACTAAAAATTCTAATAGCCACCAGATAGCCCAGATAAAATCCAGACTTGATCTAGCTGAAAGATCCATTAGGTCAAACTATAGTCTTCTATCAGGCCATTTAAGAAAATAAACCTGTATGATATTTTTCCCCCCAAAAGCCATTCAGGAATCCATACCTGGAGGAATGTGAGTGCTGCTCTCTGAAGTAAACATTCAGCATAACAAATTTCTGCATGGATTTCCTCTAACATCACACAGAGAGAAGAAAACCAATCAATCAGTCAGAAAGTAATTAAAAACCACTTAGCCCATTAATGTAGGAATAAGATCACAGAGCTCAAACTGAGAAAAATATTTTCCACATTTGCTGTAGTGTTTCAGTTCTAGACTACTGATGTAACTCCAAACAGAAATGACATGCAGCTACAGAAACTTGGCAGAAATTTTTCTGGTGCTTTCCATAAATTCCTGGATCTAGAACCTTTACAGGCATTTCAATACTTCTTTCTAGATATTTCCTTACCCAGCAATTTTTGGGAGTGCTGAGTCAGAAAGCAACAAGACCAGTGATTTTGTATTGGTTACACAGCAATGGCCAAAACACTGACATTTGGTCTAGCAAATCCAGATCAGTGATTTTGTCAGTGAATTCACAATTTGCAAGCACATACTGAGTGAACAATTCTACAGGATTCAAGCTGCATAAATAAAAAAGGAAAACATTACCCATGTGAAATATGTTACCTTCAGTGAAGTGTTCAAGGCTTTGCCTATGCACAAGGTTGTTGATAGAATCAGCTACAGTAGATTTCTTCCTAAATCTGCAAAAAGTCAGTTTGGACATTCTGAAGAAGGAGCATCAAGAACACAGAACCATATCTTTCAGCCAGCCACCCCCACAGTCTCTAATGTGCCTCCAGTGCTCACCAGCCCTGTTATCTCACCACACACACAAACTTCAGCACAGTCCACAGAGAACTTAACTTAGCCAACGTGGTCCTCTGGGATCTGTCTCTTCCCCTTTATGCACAGAAATCTGTCTTGATGAAGGAGAGGGATAAGGGGGTGTTTTGATTTATTTTTTGTGTCTATAGGTGAATGTGGGTGCAAAAGTGGGAGCACAGTTGACTCAGACAGACAACTGCAGTACAAGCATCACCCATGGGAACATTCTGCAGTGTTTGAACATTGTAAACAACTTCCAGACACTGCAGAACCAGGACTACAGGTAAGACAAATCCTAACTGACAAGAAAAATCAGATATTGTGGTAAACTGAAGTTTTCAAGACTGGACTGCTGAACACCTTCATTTATGAGCTGTGATCCTCCTCTGAGCAGGAGGCTGGACTAGATGACCTCCTGATGCCCTTCCAACCTCAGTTTTCCTGTGATTTCTGTAAGGTTACATTTCCTTTTGTATCCAGTAGTCTTTCAAAACTTTCCCAAGAAGGAAGTATTTACTGATAGAATTGCTCCAGTCTTACCTTTGACAGGTGGCTTGAGCTTCCTTCATTGTGTTCCCTGCATTCAGTATGTCCTGAGGATCAAATGTCATCATAGCCTGCATCTCCAGTATGGTGGCATAGGTCAGGGCATGATACATGCTGTCTTTAGTTCTGCAAGAAAACACAAGGTGCAAAGCACAGCTGATTTGATTGTATTATTGCTTTTAAAAAGCAAATACAAACCCAATTCTAGAAATGCATCAGCCTCATGGGAACAAGGTCTAAATGAATTAGAAATCAAACACAAAGAACATGCAAAATAATCAAGAAACAGTAATAGATTGAGATTTGTACAAGAAATCGTGTCTACAGTTCTCCATACTCTGCTAAAATGTATCAATTCTGAGCTGAGGATAGGTATTTAACAAACATAAAGCACAGGAATTAACCACATGGCTCATCATTCAGAAACAATAGAATCATGGGGGGGTTGATTTTGGTGGGGTTTTTTTATTATCTAATGAATGCTACAACATATGACACAAATCCAGCTGATATTCTCATAAATTTGGGACAGTTACTCACTACAGGCTCAAGGAGATAAGTAACACAATACTACAACCATGGCCAAAATAGAATCTCCTTGAAACAGATCTTTTCACCAGAAGCATTAAATTCTGTATCAAAAAGTACAGCTTTTTTTTCCCTCTCCCCTTCTGCCAAACCTCCACCTCAATCTGTTCAACTCTAGGGTTTCAGACAGTGCCACGTTGGCAGAAAGGAAAAAACTTTAGCACCAGTGCAAGGAAAACAATTAATTCCTATGTGCAGCCATTGCTGGCACCTTTCCTCTGACAGGAAAGAGGGTTTATATATTGCACACATTTAGAGCATTCACCTGTGTCTGGTGTAATTCTCTGCAAGTGAATCAAAATATCTTCAGGCACAAAGGTCTAATAAGGACGACTTGAGAAATACGTTGAAGGGCGAGCTCAGATAAATTCCTGACACAGAAACTCTCTGCAGACCTTGCTAATCCACCCTGACAAATAGCACAACTTAAGACAAATATTGTTAAGGAGCAAGAATTGCTATTTCCATTGTTTACACTCTGGAACAGATCAGATAGCTCTGTGTGGCAGGGAATATTCAAAAATACTTGCAGTCAAACAAGGATATCCTTTCAAAATCTCCACCCTCAGCACACCTGCTCTCAATGTGTTTACTTCAGGTGCTTCTTCATTTTCTTTTTCTTTCAAGCAGAAAGGTGTGTGCCAACAATGTGCTCTTGACAAAGACAGGGCTGCATGAAGAGGAGTGCTTCTGCCAGCAGGATGAGAGAGGAGCTCCTTCCCTCTGCACAACACTGGTGAGGCCCCACCTGGAGTGCAGCTCTGGGCTCCTCAGGGCATGCACACACTCAGGAGCGGGGTGGGGAAGGTGGTTAAGGGACTGGAACATCTCTCCTGTGAGGAAAAGCCAGGAGAGCTGGGACTGTTCTGGAGAAGAGAAAGCTCAGGGGGCTCCTGTAATATCTAGAAATACCTGAGGGGAGGAAGCAGAGAGGACAGAGCCAGGCCCTTTTCACTGGTGCCCAGGAGCAGGATCAGAGGCAATGGGCACAACATGAAGCACAGGAGCCTCTGGCTGAACATCAGGAAACACCTTTTCACACCATCCAGAAAAGTTGTAAAGTCTGTATCCTTGGAGACATTCAAAATGGCCCTGCTTGAGTACATGACTTTTTGAGGTGCCTTCCAACCTCATCTCCTCTTATTCTGTCGGGTTTTTTAAGGAGAAAAGCCAGACTTTAAAGACACCTCAATTGATGTAATTTCTCACCCCAGAAATACACTTGCCTCCCTAAGTTTTGGTATCTGGACTGGACTGAAAGAAAATTTAATGGGTAATTTCAGATAATCCTACATTAATCAATAATCTAATAATTCACTGTGGTGACTTGGGCCTAGTGCTTCCCAACCCTCACAGTGATGACAAAGGGCTGATTTTTCCAACACACAGGGCACAGAGCAGGCTGCCTGCACTGAAGGAATTTGCAGTGCACATCTTTAAACTTCACTGCAGCCTGTGCTCTGTGGCTGTCCTCAATTCCTACTTGCCCTCACCATCTAAACCAATCTAGCAGAAAAGCTGTTTTGGGTAATATCCTGGTGCCATAAGTGCTATGAGACCCAGACTGTGCCACCATCCATCTCATTTGCAAGCTAAGAAGAATAGATAGATAATGGAGAAATTACTTTAAAATCCGATGGAGTTAAGACAGCTCTTTCTTGGCCTTGTAAATCATGATTCTTTCAGCAGACTGATAATGTAAAGTAGAAAAAAATGAACACACTAAAATGTCAGCCTGATGAAGTGTTTCTGTTCATTAGATTATTCATCAGCCTCACTGGGCACAGAAAAACACACTTCATCTTGTACTTACTAAACCAAAACCCTTCCAGAGGCTCAAATTCAAAGCACAGGGAAGTGAGTGAAATACCACCCTTTCAAAATTACAGAAATTTGCTTTCTAAAGCAAAGCAGATAAACATTAAATTCACTGCACTAAAAGGAAAATTGGTACTTTTCATGTACATGTGGTGAAGAGGGATTTCCCTCTCCAGTAATTTGTTTCTGAAACAAAACCACCCCTTCCCTAATCAATGGTTTCATCTATTTTACTTCTAATATTTAAAGGAGATAATAATTAATGTCTATCATTAGCAAACTGGTATTTAGCAACATTCAAATTTGTTCTTTTATTTCAGGGGTGGGGATGCTGGCAGAAATGCAATTTATCTATGCTATTTCTATTAACCATTCAATTAAAGTTGCCAGCTACATCCTGGAGTATTCCCAGGAGTTTTAAGGCCTGGGTTTCATATGGATGGTTACAGAATGAAACTTGTTATCTTTTTACTTTTCTTCTTTTGATTCCTCAGCAGCAATTTCCTCAGGACTTTGTTGGAGTTAACAAGCCTGTATGACATGAATGCAACTAATATTGTGATTAATGACTTATCCCAGTAGTTGTTATCACATGACTGAATAAGAGGATTATAAGTAATATCTTTAGGCAGTAATGGAGTTCTGCCACATGCCTCTTCTCCAGCTATGGTGCAATCATTGTCATCTTGCAGCACTGCCCTTTCTTGGAGCTGCTGGAGAACACTTTTATTCCTGCTTAAGTGAGAACAGTCACAGCTTTCCAGCTGAAGTATGAAAATCAAACATCTTGCCTTGGTTTGACCTCAGAATTAACCCAGGGCTATTAATCTTTTGTGAAAAACAGCACTCAAAATCTTTTCTGCAGATCCTTTAAAGTAATTCAGCAGACAGGACATGCATTCCTAAGTTACAGAAACCTCAGATTCAAATCCATATTTTGATTTAGTATCAAGGTGCTTCCAACACTTAAAACAAATCCAACAGGACAGAGTGAGACAGACTCTGCACAGACCAGTCAAGAGTCTGCTCATCCAGGAGGGCTCAAGAGTGAGAGATCAATGCCCAAATCAAACCTGCATCAGGAGAATGTGGTCACAAGGGCCCAAAGGCTTTCCTCATCTTTGATTCCAGGTTCCACCAATGTCTGAACATCCCACCAGACCATGGCACAGGCTTTCACAGAAATGCTCACATTGATGAACCAACATTTCTGGTTAAAACCCTTTTCCTGCAGGACTCTTCAGTAGCAATAAGTTAACAACCAGCAAGGACCTCTCCAGTCAGCCACCACCACAGCTCCTTCGTTAGCACAAACCACCAGGATGGGCCAAGACAAAAAGCTGTGCTTCAGCAAGAGAATCCCTGAGCCTTTTTAATCAAAGTTCATAAGCTGCTAAGTTCTTCCAGCAAAGAGAAGAAACCAACAATATAGTTAGGTTTTGCTTGCAATTAATTTACTTACAAAGACTATAAAAGTTGTTCTTCCAGATCTCAAGTATAAAATAATAAACTCCCTAGAAATAACAACCTTGTTCTTGTTCATGACATTCCTTACAATAAATAGCTAACCCAAGCTTTGAGCAACATAATTATCCATTCACTGCCTAGAGCTTCACTCTGCCTGGGTGTGCTTCCCCCTGTTCTTTCACCACTCTCCACATGACAACCACACCTGATCTTTGGGAGATCAGCTCCCAGGGAAAGCTTTCAAAGCACAGTCATTCTAGAATTAATATTCCACCAAACAACACCAAGTGCTTTTTGGAGTCTATTTTCAGAATAAAGTCAACTGCCTGGAACGAATCACGGTCTTATTATTACTTTAGTATTGCAAGCAGCAACACATGTGGTGTGCCTCATCCAATGGTCCAGATAATTCTGTCACAAATTTATCTTATTTACCACTCTCCCAATGGATCTGCTATCACCAAACCATCAGGTGATTATGCAATGTTTTCCTTCAGGATAATTATCAAAATATTAAGCATTTGTCTTGGGAAGGGAAGGAGACATCTCACCAGAATCAACCCTTAATTTATTATTGTCTGTTTGCAATTACATGAGGGCTAAAATCCAATCAGCATTTAATGGATTTACTGCATGGCTCAGGGCTGAGAAGGAATATGAGATCCTTTCCCCCTGCTCCAGTGATTGGACAGTTTCAGTGTTATGCATGTTAACACATTACATATTGAAAATCACTGCTGTGCTTGGTGACTGAACTTTGGGAACTTCTTAAGAGTTTTTGGATGCAGTGTGAGTACCCCATATAAAAGAGAAATTTAATTAAACTTCCTGCAGAAAGCACGACATAATCAGAACCCACTATTGTACAATGGTTGTTAATAATAATGAAAACTGACTCTAAAAGCTAAAAGGTAGTTCAGGAAACAAGAAAAGTTACATAACATGAGGCAAAAACACCAGATGTATTTTTTCTATGAAATGAGATCTCTTCTTTATAATGGATTTGTTTTTCTTTGTGATGGATTTGCTTTTCTAACAGGAAAAAAAGAGCTTTACCTCAACACAAGTCTAGACACCATCCTCAGATATTTATTTTTAAGCTGCTAGGAAAGCTCTTCTGATTTTAAGCCTCTCACATTGTGCCAAATCTGTTGTCAGTTTCACATGGTACAAATTAGTTGAAAATACACTTATTGTGGAAGTCAAATGTGAGTAATTTAGTGAATCTGCATTAACATAATACAGAGCAGAGTATCTCCTACACCAGAAGCATTAGAGCCACAAAAATCTAAGATACTAAATTTTCCACAAGCATGTAAAAACTGAGAAGCATTTCTCTAAGCACTGATAGTATGTTTATGGACTTTGAAAACTAATTTCAAATCTCAGCACACCAAAAGGGAACAGTGAGGAACTGGTGGCTCAGAAAGAAAATACTCAGGACTACCCCATGTGCCCACTCTACAACTCTTCTCATTCCTAAAGAGATGGAGTGTGTCCATAATGGATTTCATCTGTGGGGAAATTCACCATCCTGTTTCTTCACTGCACTCACAAAGATCATAAGTCTCTATTTCCCTCAGTGCCAAAGGCAACAGGAATAAGGGCCTCCTCATAACAACAGGCTGAAATGAAAAATTAGTTTCAAAATGGTTTTGCAGTGAGGAACAGAGTCAGGTACAAAAAGAGAATCAGCTCATGAAATATGTTCTGCAGAGCCCAACAAAAGCTGAATGAAAACCATATGCAACAGAAGAAAAATGGATTTACAGAAAAAAGCAATCCATAGCCTCACTAGCTTTTGCAGTGTTTTGGAAACCTGCTGCAATAAAATATTCCCTTATTTTATGCTAAGCACTGAGTGAGCCTTCCCAGATGGGCACAGGGGCTTTACTGTCAGGATTTAATGAAAATACAGTTATTCTTCTTACCATTTTTATTATATCTTCTGATGATATATATAAACGCTAAACGACTTTGCTGTGAATAAACCCAGCATTACTTAAACAGCTGATGCTACAATTTATCATTAATCTCTTTCCCAGAGTGTACTTACATGGCTAAACTACAGATTCTGGCATCAAATCTGAGGCTGATACCTCAGCAAAGGAGATATGCAGCATTCATTGTAGATACCCCTGGTGTATATCAAATTCACACTATGAATTTTACTTCTTTCATATTCCAGTGTCCTGAAAGAAGGCATGATGCAATTTGCTGGTGGCTCAAAAATAAATGGAGCAAATTGGGTGGGTGGGGGAGAAATTTAAATTAACCACAGACTTCAGCAAGCCAAGAACACAGGTAACTTCAGGACAGGGTATGACAGATCACAGACATTGTAAAGACACAACAATTTTTAGGAACTATTTCATGACCTCATTGCTTGCAGCTGGGCCACTCATTACAAGTTGGGCTGCAACATAATTAGGAAACAGAGTGCATGACCACAACACTGAATTGCAAAATAAGCTGTGAGAAAGTTTCTGCAAATGGTTACAACAACAAAGAAAGAGTTCATACCTAATGTTTCTCAAACCTTCAAGTGATGGTCAGTTGCTCATTTAGAGACATAACTATAATTATTCAGATTCTCACAGTGTGCAGAAACATATGGGAAAGAAGACAAAAATAAAATGTGACAGAAGATGGATTTTACTCTTCCAGGAGAAAGAATCTCACATACTGCATTACAGCTGAGGACATCAATTTTAGAAGACAAATAAGTGCTTTACACTTGTGTGAGTAAATAACAATATTTTATTTACTCACATGAGTGTAGAGCACTTATCAGTCTTCCCCAAAACTTAACACATTAACTTACCCCTCCCTTCTGAACCAAAACCCTAAAGACTTATCAACTATTAACAGAGGGCTAAACAGAACCAGCTGTCTGGTCAAAATCTCCTGAGAGATGGTGAAGAAAAGAAAAATAAACAGAGAAAAAGGAGGAAGTCTTATCAACTTACTTTGCTTGTAGAGAAGCCAAAGCTTCTGAGAACTTGTTGTTAAGAAATAAATCCAGAGCTGCCATACATTCACGCAGTGCCACGTTGAGGTCTGACGTGGATGACCTGCCAGAAGAGACAACAAGCTCAGCACAGCTGTTCTCCTACCAGTGCATTACTGCTGCACTTGAACCCCCCTTCCTCAAACCCAGATTTATTCCCTTGCATAACCTGCTATTTTATCTTTAGTGATTGCAAAAAGTGAAAGTGACTCCTATTATGTTTGTGGATTTGGGGTTTTGGAGGTTTTTTTTAACTATGCTTTCACCAAGTAACATGTGAAAGAGACTGAAGTTTTTTTCAGAAAAAAACCCAAAACAAACTGCACATACTTTATGGTAAGAACCTGGACATGCTGAATTTGCCATGTGGGAGCTCAGCAATTTGATGAGCTCAGGTAGCAGGAACACAGAAGCACTGGGTGACAATGCACATCTCACTGTAAGGCTGCAAGACTCCAGCTGGTGACATCATGATCATGTTATCACTTTAGGGATGAGACATTGTCAATCTGAATCAGAATATTACTCCAACTGCTGCTGGAACATCTGCCTTCATTCAGCTCATGCTGAGTGGTGCCTGAGCAACAAACCACTACAAACTCACAGGTGGGTTAACACTTCCCATTGTGGATCTTTGTGGGAACATCACTGTTTCTGAGAAGTGCCACTGCACTCAGAATAAACTACTGTGGTATCTCAAAGTTAGAAGACTCTCAGTGACTTACTCTGGCTGTATTTTTCTCCTTTACAACATTCAGATGTCAGCCTGACCTGTCACAAGGCTTCTCAGCTGGTCTTTAAATTATTGGCAAGAGGATAATACAGACCAGCTGAGTTAGTTTGGCCCAAGTTCATCACCACCAGAACTGCTGGACAAAAAAAAAATCCACAAAAGAAACAATAAAGCCTTGCACTAATGAAGTTAAGGTCACCTAGGCAGTGTTAGGACACTGAAACATCTGCATCTAATGATCAAAGAGCTCCACTGCACTAATATATTGTATACAAGCATGTACAAAACATCCTCCAACAAAATACAAACAAATCCTCACCATGTTCCTGATTCTGAACAGCTCTAACTAATGTGATCTATCTTGTGACTTAGAAACTGTGTTAGTTCCTTAAAAAGTAGCACAACACAGAATGCTGAAAGGAAAACCAGAAAGCAAAGTCCTGATAAGATCTTAAGGAGAAGGCAGGGGAGCACAGCACGAGCAGATAGCATCAGTAATAACCACCCACTGCAGCAGTGGTTTGATTTTGGTTTCACAAATAATGATTGCAAAGAAATAAAGAGTTTAATTATATATACAAAAAGCAGGACGTTAAATTTGAGAGAAACACTATGTGACGCTGTTCCTAGTGGCTTTGTCATCTCAACTTCAGCTCCACTGCAAATCCTTTTGCACCCAAGACACTCTGTGAGTGCTTTGCAAGCATTGATTAACCAAGTTTTGGCATCCGCCTCATACAAAATGCAATATCATGTCTGCCTCCTCTGAGCTATTCTGAGTCCTGCTTAATTATTAAAACTTGGTCAATTATTGCTTATTGTATTAAAACTCCTACCTTCCTGGTTTTAAATCTGTGTCCCTGAACCCAGTAATATATTTAACAATAAAGCATATCTTCACCTGTTTTAAAATATTTAGACTACTAGCATTTTACCTGGGTTTTTTGGTTTTTTTGTTTCTTGTCATGCAGCAGAATTACCCCATTCAATACAAATAAACCTTTTCAAAATGCTCCTTTGAAACAGAAAGATGACAAAGAATAAAACCACTGCTGAAGCTCAAAGCAGAAACAAGATACTATAATTATTGGCATCCTTTTTGGAATAACAATGCACACTGCTACCCACAGCAGCAGCAACACAAGCAGCACGTTTCCCTCATGCTCCAAGGAAACCTGCACAGGGTGCAGCTCCCAAGTCAAGGGCTTAAGACCTGGGTAAAATACACACCTCACATAAATGCTACGAACCATCACTTGTCCCTGCTAACAATAGGGCAGAAATGCTTTAAACTCGAGGGTGCTCAGCATTTTAGCAAACTGATTAGTCATGCTTCAGGGGGATGCAGATCCCTCCTGCTTCCAACAGCAGGACAGAACTGCCTCAAAGCCAAACGCAAAACGCAGCGTGCTGCTACTCACCTCTCTGCTGAGTGTCCTGCGTGTTCTGACATAGTCATTGCAAGCCCGCTCAGCTTTCGGGCTCCAGCACCGGCAGCGCTCGGTGCTCCTGAGCCGGCTGCGAGCGACAGCCCCGGGGGGAGCGCAGGGCAGCGCCTGCTGCGGCACCGCTCTGCGATTGGGCACTGCGGGCAACGGGAGCATCGCTAATCCACCGGCCACATCCTACAAACCTGCATAATCCACCGGCCACATCCTACAAACCCGGCCGTGCCACAGCCGGCTCATGAGCCACGGCATCCAAATGCAGCTGGATACCTCCAGTGTAGGAGGGGCTGGCGGCTGCCAGCCTATCTCTGATCTACAGACCTGTCTGGAACGAGCAGCAGCAGCATTGGCTACCTTTCCTCCTGTCCAGAGCAGGCAGAAGCCAAATCCCCTTGTAATTACAGCGCTGAAACAACGAGAATTACTGCATGTGGCAGTGGCCCACATCAGAAAGCTGCGAACCAGAACGGAGAGCCAAGCGAGAGCAGCTGACAGGCGGCACTCGGGCAGTAATTGCTGCGAATGTGAGAACCACGCAGGCGAGAGACACAAGCAAGCGCTTCTTCCCAGCAAGGATTCTCCACAAAACAGGCTCCGATCCAGCAGCCAAACTGCTGCTTCTCGTTAGTTCCTGTACCTTTGGGAGGAAGTGGGACTTTACACGCTCTTTGTAACAATCTCTCTTTAATGCCATGGAAAATGATGCGAGTTGGCACTAACAATTTAATCAGTGGAGTGAGTGCATCTGGCTGATTTTGCCCAAAATGCACCAGTGAATTCTCCTGAAATGCTTTGCTGGCACATCAGCTGTACCAGCCCCAGTGGAGTGAGTGCATCTGGCTGATTTTGCCCAAAATGCACCAGTGAATTCCCCTGAAGTGCTTTGCTGGCACATCAGCAGTACCAGCCCTGCACACAACTACAAGCAGCATTACCAGTCCTTCCACTCATTATGAGAGCTGGACTGTGGAAGTTGATCAGCCATGATCTACTTACATAAATTAGTTTCTCCAAGAGCATCTAATGGCAGAAATTATCTGTTTGCTAGATTACCCAAAGCAGTACCAATAATGAAGACATACCCTGCAGAAGGAAGACCCAAAAATGATAAACTAGCAAAGGACAATTCCAGGAAGACTCTCTGAATCCATTAACATACATGATTAAATCTCTTGCTGGTTTTATGGCATCCTGTACAGAAAAGCCTGTGCTGCATTTGGTACAAAAATTACTGTAATAGATCCACAGGCTGTCCCAATAATGACTCGATTACATGTTCCTAACAGCATTGTGTACCTGGGCCACAGCAGGAGATAAAAGATATTTACTGTTTTTTTTGCCCTAGTTGGCAATAACTACTGGTTGCAACCTAAAATTAACTGGCTGGTTCCGTGGCAGGATCATGGGCTACTCTGAAAAGGTTTTTCATCATTCTCATTAGCTGTTTGTACAATTTCTAATTAATACTGTATTCTCCAAATAGTCCTTAAAGCCCTGTATGGTGAAGGGTCTCGCTATATCTGCCAAGTTCTTCAAGACTTGATTTGGCAGGTTTTTATTTGAATACCACTGCTCAAGAAACAACTGTATGCTCAGACAACCTTCAGTATGCAACCTTCACCCTCCCCCATATACGTATGCTTTTTTTTTAAGAAAACAACTGTAAAACACCTCAGATCTGAAATATTTCCACATTTAGGCCATTTCCTGGCTGGTTTTACAAGGTTCTTTCCTTTCTCGCTTTTGGGCAGCAGGTTTTGCAAGGACAGTCATATGGTTCTTCTTGCGGTTTTGTTATTCATGAAATCGTTGTTCTCTACCCCAGGGAGCACGAGTGGGGTTGTTTCACAAATCACAACCACAGCATATCCTGGGAGTTGCAGCAAGAGCTGCTCTCCTTACTCTGCTGCATCCCCACTGTCTCTAGCTGGAAACAGTTCCTTGGAATATCCCAGGCAATGCCCCTTTTAATTAAGCACCAGATCCCTTCTATGTCAACAGCAGTACCAAACAAAATGAATAAGCAAAAATAAGCAAAACTAAAATCTGGAATACTAATGAACAGTAAAGCATCTTCCAAAAAAAAAAAAATGTTTTCCATTGCCACAAGGAAAGAGACACGCGATTTTTGAGCATGGGAGTTACCATATTTATGCATAATTTTATTTCACTGTCTGCATGATGTTGGCTGGTTTCTTACTATGAGTTTGCAGTGCATAAGCTTTGTGATTTGTCACTGGGTTTACAGACTTCTTCAATAAAAAAAGCATCTTGAACCTTTTACTGTGCAAAATTCTAAAATACTCAGCCTCAGTAATTATCAGAACTTTACAAAGAAAGGTAAGTCTGAGGTTTGTGCCTTTGTAGTAATGCTTTTAATAGTAATTCAAGAGCTCCTTCAGTACTGTGAAACATTAAAAGCAAGTTAAATCAGTCATATCCTAAAATATGGATGCATTTCTCCGCCAAATCTACCTTATCTGCATAAGTCAGCTGCGGTTGCGTGCATGGGTAACTTCATTTGGAGGAGGAGAATAAAACACAAAGAATCAAACACCATTTAAGCTTCACCAGGGCTAACACTTCAATCAGTCACAGATGTGGGAGCCTCCCAAAGCACATTTCAAAGGCCTCAGTTTCAGTGTTAATGAAACTTCCCTGTCTGAGCATCCAGGAGCCACTGGCAGTCACAGTGAGCTCCTGGATGGGGCCAAAGCCCCTTCACAGCTGCACATCCCACACTCACAGTGAGACAGGCTCCACCTCAAATTTGCTATAACAGAGTCTCAGATGTCCCAGTCCTTAAATTTATTTCATCTTGGTGCAATAACAAAATAACAGCTTGAGCTGGTGCCTCCAAGGAGGGACTCTGAACAAAGGAAC